CTTGGTAGATAAATTGTGAAACTACATGATGTTGATTATCAGTGGTAATGTATCATGCTCCATGTTGAGCAGTTGGATTGCACAGATGTCTGGGTTTTTGAAACAAAAGCAATAGATTTTTCATCTTGCAAAAGGCATGTCTTTTTGAGATGCATGCAATTTGAGAAATATTATTTTACAGACATAATAGCACAGTAAGCCGGACTTTGCTGTCACAATCTACTAGAGAGAATCGAAGATGTATTGTTGGCCTTCTTTCTCCACATTGTGGAATGCATGGCAAGAAGATACTTAAAAATCTGAAGCAACATCAGAGATGCTCTTTATCCTACGACAATTGCATTTGTTTAAAATCTTTGATCTTACCAGTATCTCATGGGTGGAGGAAATGGACCCCAAAAGATTAATCTAGCTGATGTTCACCTGCTATTTTTTGCTGTCAGAACTAATCTTTGCCATCTCACTGCTGGCATCAGTGGCAAAGGCTGCGGTCATGCTCTGCCTTTAGCTTACCACATGAGCACAATACCATCAGCTATGAAAACATTCTCAGTAATCCTAGCAATGTGTTTCTGGAATAGTCTTGGCTAAATGAGAGCCCAGTAGTAAAAATCAGAGACTGGATGCTGGAATCACCTCCCAAACAATTTATCAAACCTATCAGGAGCAACACCAAAGGATTTTTACCGGTATATAGTAATTATAAAACTAATAATTCCAATTAAGAAAGGACATACAATGAGATCTCAAATACTAAGTGCAAAGTGATGACATATTCATAAGATTTACAAGATTTGAAGGCGAAAAGGTTCAAAATTAAAACAGCAGAATCCCAAAAATGGCATGATTGCATTTTTCCTTAATTCTGTTCCTATTTTACAAATCACGGTGGACTGTCCCATTTTTGCAGTGGAGGTTTGGTGATGGATGATTAGTTGAGCATCAGGTTCACTCTTGGGTTACATTCTCAGTGATGGGTGTTTAGTAGCTGACACCAATTGCACACAAAGGCACTCACAGCAGAATTGGAGGTCAAATGACTACGGCAAGCCATCCATAGTCTAAAGGTACTATTTCATTTCTCCAACATTCCCTTTTTCTGAAAAAATACACCTACTATCAGAAGGGTCTGAGGAAGGGTCACCGGACCCGAAAAGTTAACTCTGATTTTTCTTCACAGATGTTGCTAGACCTGCTGAGCTTTTCCAGCAACTTCTGTTTTTGCTCCTGACTAACAGCATCTGCAGTTCTTTCTAGATCTATGTTTGACCCGCAAAAAAGACCCTGAGCTTCCAGTTGCCTGCCATTTTAACACACCACCCTGTTCCCTGGCCAACATCTCTGTCTCGGGTTTGCTGCAGTGTTCCAGTGAAGCTCAGTGCAAGCTGAAAGAACAGCACATCATTTTCCACTTGGGGATCCTATGGCCCTCCAGACTCAATATCAAGTTCAATAATTTCAGGGCCTGAACTTTCCCATATCCTAGCCCCCTACTCTACAAACCAGGCTTTATTATCACATAGTCTGCCATTATACACTACCTATTGTTAGTCACTAAAAGTCCAAATTAACAGTCATTTGCCCTCCGAGACAGATCATTATCAACTCCTTTATCTGTCCAACTGTTCTTCTTTCTAAAAAAAAACTGAAGGAGTTTTTCAAGAAGTGACAAAGATGATTGTTGAAGGCTGAGCGTTAGATATTATCTACATGGACTTCTTCAAGGCAGATATCAATATTCTGCATGATAGACTGGTTAGCAAGGTTAGGTCACGTGAAATCCAGGGAGATCTAGCCAATTGGTTACAAAATTGGCTTGAAGGTAGGATACAGAGGGTGGTGGTGGAAGTTGATTTTCAGACTGGAGGCCAGTGACTATCGGCGTACTGCAAGGATTGGTGTTGGGTCCATTGCTCTTTGTCATTTAAATTAGGTATGATTAGTAAGTTTGCAGATGACACCAAAATTGGTGGTGTAGTGGAGATTGCACAATGTTCAGCACCATTCGTGACTCTTCAGATACTGAAGCAGTCCATGTTCACATGCAACAAGATCTGGACAATATCCAGGCTTGGACTGACAAGTGGCAAGTGACATTCGCGCCACACAAATGCCAGGCTATGACCATCACCAATAAGAGACTATCTAACCACCGCCCCTTGACATTCAATGGTGTTACCATCACTGTATCCCCCACTATCAACATCCTGGGGGTTACCATTGACCAGAAACTCAACCGGATTCACCACATTAACAGAGTGGCTACAAGAGCAGGCCAGAAGCTGGGAATACAGCGGCGAGTAACTCATCTCCTGACTCCTCAAAGCCTGTCCACCATCTACAAGGCACAAGTCAGGAGTGTGATGGAATACTCCCCACTTACCTGGATGGGTGCAGCCCCAACAATACTCAAGAAGCTTGAAACCATCCAGGACAAAGCAGCCCGCTTGATTGGCACTACATCCACAAGCATTCACTCCTTCCACCACTGACGCTCAATAGCAGCAGTGCATACTATCTACAAGATGTACTGCAGAAATTCACCAAAGATCCTCAGACAGCACCTTTCAACCCCACAACCACTTCCATCTCGAAGGACAAGGGCAGCAAATAAAAGGGAACACCACTACCTTCAAGTTCCCCTCCAAGTCACTCACCAGCCTGACTTGGAAATCTATCGCTGTTCCTTCACCGTCGCTGGGTCAAAATCCTGGAATTCCCTTCCTAATAGCATTGTGGGTCAACCCACAGCAGGAGAAATGCAGCAGTTCAAGAAGGCAGCTCACCACCACCTTCTCAAGGGCAACTAGGGATGGGCAAGAAATGCTGGCCAGCCAGTGATGCCCACATCCCACAAAACGAATAGAAAAAAAAAATTGAAGAAGATTATCTTAAAGTAAAACAGGACCTTGATCAGATGAGCCAACAGGCCGAGGAGTGGCAAATGGATTTTAATATAGATGAATGTGAGGTGTTGCATTTTGATAAGGAAAATCAGGGCAGGATTTATTCAGAAAATGTTAGGGTCCTGGGAAGTGTTGCCGAACATTGGGATCTAGGGATTGCAGGTGCATAGTTCCTTTAAAGTGGAGTTGCAGGTCGACTTGATGGTGAAGAAGGCGTTTGTCATATTTGCCTTCATTGGTTAGTGCATTAAATAAAGGAGTTGTAATATTATGTTGCAGCTGTACACGGCATTGGTTAGGCCACTTTTAGAATGCTACATTCAACTCTGATATCCCTGCTGTTGGAAAGATGTTGTTAAACTTGGAAGAGTTCAGAAAAGATTTACGAAGTTGTTGCTGGGATTGGAAGGTTTGAGCTATAGGGAGAGGCTGAATAAGCTGGGGCTTTATTTCCTGTAGTGTCAGAGGCTGAGGGGTGACCTTACAGAGGTTTATAAAATCATGAGGGGCATGGATAAGGTTAATAGCCAAGGTTATTTTGGCAAAAAAAATGTCCAAAACTTGAGGGCATATGTTTAAGGTGAGAGGAGAAATATTTATAAGGGATCTAAGGGGCAACTTTTTCACACAGAGGGTAGTGCGTGTATGGAATGTGCTGCCAGGGGAAGTGGTGGAGGCTGGTACGATTAGAACATTTAAAAGGCTTCTGGATGGGTATGCAAATAGGAAGGATTTAGAGGGATATGGGCCAAATGCTGGCAAATGGGACTAGATTTACTTAGGATATCTGGTTAGCATAGATAGGTTGGACTGAAGGGTCTATATCTGTGCTGTATAAGTCTATGACTCTATGACTCTATGACTAAATGTATAGAAAGTGCAGGGAGTTGTTTAAAAAATAAGGAAAGTGAAGGTAGCATAAGAAAACAGTGGTGAGTAAAATAAAGGAAAATTCAAAGGTATTACTTAAGTGCATTAGGGACAAAAAATAACCAAGCAAACATTAATCATGAATGAGGTAATTAGTTAATGAAACACTAACAATCAGAAAGTGTGAAAATGACATGGAAGTTGATGACGTGGTAAATGGAGAAAAGCCTTAGACTACAGGACAATAAAGATAGGCAGGTCATATGGGCAGAAAGGTGGCAAATGGAATTAAATACAGAAAAGTGTGAGGTGACATATTTTGGGAGGACTAAAAAGGCATGGCAATCCACAATGAATGGTCGGACTCTCACATGTATAAAGGATCAGAGGGACCTTGGTGTGCATGTCCATAGATCCTTAAAGGTAATAGGATAGATGGATAAGGTGATGAAGGCAATGGGATACTTGCCTTTACTAGGCAAGGCGTTGAACACCAAAGCAGGGAGGTTAAGATGGAGCTCTATTAGACATTAATTAGGTCATAGCAGGAACACTGTATTTAGTTTTGGTTGCCACACTATAGAGAGGATGCGATTGCTCCACAGAGAGTGCAGAGGAGATTCACCAGAATGTTCCCTTAGTTGGAACAGTTATAGAGAGAGTATGAAGAGTCTGGGGTTGTCTTCCCTAGAGAAGAGAAGGCTGAGGAGAATTCTTATTAAGGTGAGCAGCATAGATGGGGTTGATACAAATAAACTTTCTCCCTTCAGAAAAAGCTTTAATACCCAGTGCACATAGTTTTAAGGTAACAGACAAGAGTTTAGAGGGGATTTTAGTCTTTTTCTCACCCACAAATTGGTGGGTATGTGGAACTCACTGATGAAAGGGTGGTGGAGGTGAGAACAAACGCAATACTTAAGGAAGTATTTTGACGAGCACTTGAAATGCCATTGCTAACAAGGCTATAAGCCAAGAGTTGGAAAATGTGTTTAGGTGCTTGATGACTGCTGTGGGCATTACGGGCTGAAGGGCCACTTTCTGTGCTGTAAAACTCTGACTCTATGATATTTGAATGCTCATTCATATTGACTGCTGTCAATCTAGGGAGATATTTTTCATTAGTTTAAGAAAATATGTTGCTGTAGCATCTTCTGATTGCTCACAAAAAGATCAATATGAATACAGACATGCAAATAATTATATTAATTCAAATCACAACATATATTTGCATTGATCATGAAAATACTTTATTTAAAATAATAGATTTTCAACATTTTAATTTAACATTGCACAGACTTAAATTTCACAACATCTATGCCAATTTTTAAAGAGTAGTAAATTGGGAAAGCAAAAATATTAATAATTACTCCAAAATTTACAACACTGAACATAATCCATGATAAATGTGTTATTTGGTCTGCATGAAATAATTGGATAAATTTCATTAAAACTGATTTCCAGATAGATTAGAGATAGTTTGCAGTTGACTTTAATGTTACTGGTGTATTCACTTGGACATCACAAAGTTCAGCATTTGTTACCAATCCCTATTTACACTTGAGAACAGCTAAGACTCATCAACATTCCTGTGAATCTGGACTCAAGAAGGCCAGGCCAGGTAAGGAGACTATATTCCTTTCCGTAAAGGAAATTAGCAAACCTAAAGTACTTGCATAAAATTAATAGCAGCTCCATGGCCACTATTTTGCATGTTTTTACTTCCAGGTTTATTTTTCTGAATTGAATTTAAATGCCACCTGTTACCATGGTGGGACTTGAACCCTGTTTCTCAGGGTATAAGCCTGGGTCTTGGATTTACCAGTCCAGTACTATTGCCACTAACCAAACATCAACCCATCTGGTGCTTCAAGTCAGTATCTAAGAACCTTTTTTGGTCGCTGTCCATAATTTCCCAAGGAGTATCAAATAGAGGAAGCCTTCACAACCACTATTATGATTATAGCTAGATATAGGGTGATCATCCAAATTCCTAATAGATCATATTCTCTTTCCCACTCATTTTTTTTTCAAATCCGTTATATTATTCCTGGGTATTCTTAAAATTCTAAACTTGAATCATATTCCCCAGAGTATTAGCCTGAACCTTAGAATTACTAGTCAATGATCATGCCATCTCACCTGTTGACTCTCCAAACCAGAACCTAAGATATTTCTGTCTCTAGAAGTACTAAATGGAGAAAACCTTCACAATTGCCTTTATAATTTGGCTAAACATGGGATGACCAGACAAATCTGTAACACTTTATTTTCTCTTTCTTCATCAATGATGTAATATTCTAAATTTCTTACATTATTCTTTGGGTTTTTATAATTCTGTATTGATGAGTGTGAAGTGAAAAATTTTTATGGTAGCTCACCTCCTAGATCAGCAATTTTGATGCTCTGTCCTACCAAGTGACTAATTCCTGAAAGTGATTTCACAATGACTTAGGTAAGAAAGGCACTGAACAATTTATTACTTAGCTCTTTAGCCCAGTGTATTTGAGTTCTCAATATCTCAATAGTACCTGCAACATTAATTCCAATTTGGGTGTTAACATTGAGAAATATTCCTTTTGTGGCAAAGGAAATATTACCAAGAGCACGCATAGATCAATCGCATTGACACTCATGGAAAATGCTTCTATGCGTGAATATTAGATAAAACATTATTCAGCTTGGCTGAATTGGTCTCCACAGCAAGGTAACTCAGTACCTTTCACAATTTGGGTTCATCCATGAGTAATTACCAGTTGAGGTATGTATACGATTCACCTTTAATGCTGTGGAATAAAGGGGTGATTTTTTTGGATCTTTATCAACGTGTAGTGGATCTTGAGGACACAGTGAATATTAGTAAAAAATGGAAGGATTCCCTCTTAGCTGCAATATTCATTGTGTTTCATCAAACATAAAATACATTATGTGCCATGGAATGCAAAAACAATTAATTATAAAAATAACTTGCATCTTTAGGTGAGACAGTCCAAAGTGCTTCAAAGAACTACAATCAGGTGTCATCAACAATCTTCATTTTTTAGCAACTTACACAATAAAAGACTCCAAGGCACTTCATATGAACTTCATCAAACAAATGTAACATCAATCTAAATGAGGAGATCTAATGCCAGTTGACCGCTCAGATTTTAAGGAATGATTTAGAGGGGGAATATCAGAGTGTATGGACAGGGACGTTGAAGACATATTTGTCCGCATGATACAAAAGTGGGGGTGCACAAAACTTCAGACTTGGAGGAAATCAGAATTCTTGGAAAGTTGTTGAGCTTGAGGGGGTTTCAGAGATAGGAATGGAAGAGAGCATAGATTGATTTTAAAAGAAGGCTGAGATTTGTAAAATTGATGTAGCAGGTGCCAATGTAGATTTGTGGGCAATGAATGATGAATAAATGAGACATGGGCATGTGTCAGAATCTGGCCAACAGAACTTTGAATGAGTTCATATTTATGGATAGTAGTACCACATGGAAGGCCATTAGAAAAGTATTTGAATGGTTGAATCTGGAGTCGTGCAAATGTGCGGAAAGAGCCATCCCCAGAAGGGTGCAGTGTCTGTGGCAAATCACACTGTGTGGATACCACCTCTTAGGGCAAAAGAAAGCAACCCCCTTCCTCCAATAGGCCATAGCTCTCCAGCTTCTCTGTGGTCACACTGTCAAAGGTCACCCACACCCTGGCTTCAGGGACTATCATTCAAGATCCTGCAGACCAGCTCTCGGCTGCTAACCTCTTTATGTCCTACCCTCAAGAGGATTCTGGGTATGGATGCGGGTTTCAGGAGCTGATGAAAGAGCTGATAGGAAGTAGGTGGTCTTGGTAAATGACAACATATGTGGCCAGAAGCTCACCTCTTTGTTAAATAGGATACCAAGGTTATAATCTCTTTGTTTGAAACTACTGGGGAGGGGACAGAATTTATGGCAATCATTTCTCTTTGCAGTGGGAACAAAGAAAATAGCTTCAGTCTTTACTAAATGGACTGCAGCAGTGTAAGAAAGTGGTTTGGGCAACACCTTTTCAAGGCCATTAGCGATGGTCAACAATTACTGGTCTTTCTAGTGATGCCCACATTCCATGAAAGAATAAGAAGAAATCTTGAATTGCAGAAGAGTTCACTGCATCCAGAAGTGGTTGTTACAGGAGCAGCCTGACAACAATGAGGGAGTGGAAAGGTTGAAAGAGATAGAGCTTGATGTTGGAAGTGTAGATTGGTCAACTGAGATTATGTTCAACCATAGCCATTAAATCTTGGTATAACATTTTAAGTGGTTTTTGAAATAATGTAGTGCAAGTTTGTAATCTGTGTCATGCTTAGAGGGCTTTCTAAATTTTGCATATTTTTGTTCAACTGCTTTCAGTGAATCATTTGTTGGACTCTGGCGTGTCTGATGGCTAACAATGACATCATTACACGATCCCACAAGCAGTCTGCCAAGTCCGTCAATGAAAAACTCTAGGGAAAATTTCAAATTCAGTTTTAGTTGTGGAAACATTGGTCCAGAAAAATCAGACACATGATAGAATAGCACAGAATGAAAAAAGCTATTTAACGTATCAAACCCAAAACACAGCAAAAAAATGTTCACACCATTACAAGACCTTCTCCATCCATTAAATGTTCTCGGGGAAAGTTGTGTTTAATAACTCCAATCCTCAAAAAAAACGACAAACCAAGTTCCTTAACTTTGTCTGGCTATGATCCGCAAGAGCTTCTTGTATTCTGAGATTTTGTTCCCAATTTTAAAATGTGGTGCTGGAGGTGGGGAAGTGGAAAGTGCCAATGATACATGTGAACCTCAAGAGGCAGCAATGTGGAGACCAAACTGACCTTCTCCATTGGAAGTGGAAAATTCCCGCTAGGGTTGTTGATAACACTCAATGTGAAGAGGTGACTGGAGGAGTTCCGGGCTGGGGTTCCACAATGATCGTGGATGAGTCCAGGTGGAACTGAAGTGACCTCCTGCTGGTCAGTATGCTCAGCCTAATTATAACCCAACCCTTGCACTAAACTGTGCTGGCTTTCATTTACTAGCCCATGCTTCTCTAAATGCTAATTATTTTTGCACTAGATTATTGTCTTTATGTTTCCTGAGTGTTGACAATAGGATGATTGCCCTGTGGTTATTGGGTTAATCCTTTTGCCCCTTTTTAAACGGCAATATAACATTTGCAATCCTCTTTGGTGCCACTCTCACCTATAAGAATTTTGGAAGATTTTGGTCAAATCTTCTGTCATTTCCATCTTACTTTGCTCTGTAAACTAGGATGTATCTCATCCAGACTTTAACATTTTTGCTTTCAATATTCCCAGCATTTAAAGTACATCTTTTTTATTTATTTTACAACTTCTCCAATCTAATACAAAGCTGGCTGTCCACTAGAAGACAGAGGGTGGTGGTAGATGGAGCTCGGTGACCAGTGGTGTTCCACAGGGATCTGTTCTGGGACTCTGCTCTTTGTGATCTTTATAAATGACTTGGATGAGGAAGTGGAAGGGTGGGTTAGTGAGTTTGCCGATGACACGAAGGTTGGTGGAGTTTTGGACAGCGTGGAGGGCAGATGTAGGTTGCAACGGGACATTGACAGGATGCAGAGCTGGGCAAAGAAGTGGCAGATGAAATTCAACCCAGAAAAGTGTGAAGCGATTCATTTTGGAAGGTCGAATTTGAATGCAGAATACAGGGGTAATGGCAAGATTCTCGGCAGTGTGGAGGAATAGACGGATCTTGGGGTCCATGTCGATAGATCCCTCAAAGTTGTGACCCAAGTTGATAGGATTGTAAAGAAGGCATATGGTGTGTTGGCTTTCATTGGCAACGACTTTTAAACAACTCTTGGATAGGCACATGGAGGATAGCAAAATGTAGTGTATGCAGGGTAGATTGACCTTAGCAGGATAATAGATCGGCACAACATCGTGGACCGAAGGGCCTGTATCGTGCTGTGCTGTACTGTTCTATGGTCTATGTTCTACGTTCTATGTTCTAATCACATCCTTTTGAATGTGGAGTGCTCAGCTGGGGTGGGGCCAAACCATGTTTTTAATGCAAAAACAGAAATTGCTGGAAAAGCTCAGCAGGGCTGGCAGCATCTGTGAAGTGAAATCAGAGCTAACATTTTGGGTTGAGTGACCCTTCCTCAGAATGGTCTCCTCAGTTCTGAGGAAGGGTCACTCTACCCAAAACGCTGGCTCTGATTTCTCTTCACAGATGCTGCCAGACCTGTTGAGCTGTTCCAGAATTTCTGTTTTCATTTCTGATTTACAGCATCCACAGTTCTTTCGGTGTTTATTTAGTTTCCATGTTTTTAATATGTTTAGCACAACTTCCTTTTTCACTGTACACCTCTGTTTATAAAACCCTCAAATTTGCTCCTTAACTCCTTTTCACTATTTAGTAGCCTGTAATAGATTAGCACAAGATTCTCTGTATTCTTGTTTAATTCTATCTAAATAGGGATTATGGGCACTCAGATACTTAATTCCACTTCACTGCTGTAATATTTTCTGCATCCATTTAATTTGGAAATTTATTATAGAATCTGCTTTCACTGCACATTCAGGCAGGGAATTCCAAATTGTAGCAGTTCACCCTTACAAGAAAATTTGTTCATCTCCTTTGCGGTTCTTGTGGTCTAACAGATTATATCTAAGTATCTAAAATGCTGATATGGAAAATGACATGATATCACATGATCTTAGAGTCATAGAGTCATAGAGCTGTACAGCATGGAAACAAGTCGTTTGGTCCAATGCGTCCATACCGACCAGATAATCCTGAATAAATCTAGTCCCATTTGCCAACATTTGGCCCATATCCCTCTAAATCCTTCCTATACATATACCCATTCAGATGCCTTTTAAATGTTCTAATCGTACCAGCCTCCACCACTTCCTCTAGCAACTCATTCCATACATGCACCACCCTCTGTGTGGAAAAAGTTGCCCCTTAGGTCCCTTATAAATCTTTCCCCTCTCACTAAAAACCTATGCTTTCTGGTTTTGGATTCCCCCACCCTGGGGAAAAGACCTTTCCCATTCATCCTATCCATGCACCTTTTTTGATTTTATAAACGTCTATAAGGTCACCCCTCAGCCTTCGACGCTTCAGGGAAAATAACCCCAGCCTATTCAGTCTCTCTTTATAGCTCAAAGCCTCCAACCCTGGCATCATCCTTGTAAATCTTTTCTGAATCCTTTCAAGTTTCACAACATCCTTCCTATAGTAGGGAGACCAGAATTGTACGTAATACTCCAAAAGTGGCCTAACCAATGTTCTGTACAGCCGCAACATGACCTCCTAACTCCTATACTCAATGCATTGACCAATAAAAGCAAGCATACCAAATGCCTTCTTCACTATCCTGTCTACCTGTGACTCCACTTTCAAGGAATTATGAACCTGCACTCCAAGGTTTCTTGGTTCAGCAACACTCCCCAGGATCTTACCATTAAGTGTATAAGTCCTGCCCTGATTTGTCTTTCCAAAATGCAGCACCTCACATTTGTCTAAATTAAACACCACCTGCCACTTCTCGGTCCACTGGTCCATCTGATCAAGATCTTGTTATATTCTGAGGTAACCTTCTTCGCTGTCCACTACACCTCCAAGTTTGTTGTCATCTGCAAACTTACTAACCATACCTCCTATGTTCACATCCAAGTCGTTTACATAAATGATCTTGTCTGGCAGGTTGAAGTTATAGTGAGATGCTTCATAATAAGGTTACTGTTTTCCTTACTTTGGCAGACTCTAAATATTCTGTATTAACACAGAGAGATCAAGAATACCATATGGTGGCAGCAAGTTGAAAAACAAATATCGCAAATTCTCTGCCATGGCCAGAGAGCTGCAAGCAGGTCATAGTTTCTATCAAGCAGAAAGTGGAACTGAATTGGCACTGAAGATTTACTGGATACTGAACCAAATCAGGCCTCACTGAGAAGCTAAACAATGAGCTGGTTAGTACACTATTGTACCTGATCTGCACCTGCGCAAATGATACGTTAGTTGTGTGAGGAATGACAAAGTGCTACATCTGTGGTTGGGAAACTGCTCGAGACCATTTCATAAGGAAGAAATAGCAGGACATTTGGAAAATCTGAATGCTTACTAACTTGCTGAGTTTTCCAGAAGGAGTTCACAACATGGCACGGATTTGTCCGTACTATCAGCTCACCAAGATACTTTCTGGAGTCATGCCCCGCACTTAACCTTCAGGTTAAACTCACCACCAGTTATTCTCTCTCAATGAGACAGTGGGACTACCTTTATGAAGTTTCTAGTCTGGAATGACAGCTCAGTGTGAAACTGCAATGTAAAACTAACCAACAGACATTAAATCTATGGTAAACCATATAAATCATCAATATTGTAAAGATTCCTAAACCATCTGAATAAGTGATTTATGTGCAGAACAAGGCAACATTAAGTTTCTGTATTCAGATTAGCAATTTTCATTTTGATTTCAGTTTGAATTTTGCTTTTTTGAATCATGATCTATAGGTAAAACAAATCTAATATTTTATGAAAACTGAAACAACTGTGGATGCTGTAAAGCAGTTGATTTCTCTGATTTCTCTCCACAGATGCTGCCAGACCTGCTGAGCTTTTCCAGCAATTTCTGTTTTTAAGTCTAATATTTTGTCAGATCAAAACATCTTTCTGAAAAGATGGGTTTGACTTTCTGCTTGGGATTGGGATCAGTTCTGGCCTGAACCCTGCAATGCAATGGAGTAACACAATGTTTGCAGGTTTTGTTGATTGATAACCAGGGGCATGTTCACAGTCTCATTAAGGACAGTTGGTGATATTGAAGGGTCAATAGGTGGGAGTCTAGCAGTTAAAGAATACAGGTGCCCTTTCAGCTGTTTAAAATGTGTGGAAGTAAAAATTCCCATAGCTGATAGATCACCTTTGTGAAGGAATGCAACTGCAGCTCTGATCATTCTTCATCTTTGGCAATGATAGTGTGTGGAGGAGGCTTGGGTTTAAAGCATTCTGGAAGGTTAGACCTTGGCCTATCACTGGCTTCCTTTTGCTGGCCGTGTTTTGGCCACTGTAGGGTCAATAGGCTAACTGGAAATTTCCAGTCAGTGCAGGAGAGGAGCTTTAATTGGTTCACTGGTGACCCACCTACATTTAGTCACAACCTGGCCTCCTGGAAAATGTCCAAGACTTTGGACCATGTTGAGAATGAGCAGCGTAGCTGGTGGAAGGAGGTTTTGTGCCCACCTTCCTTGGTTTCCAACCCCATTTCGTCACAAAACCCCTGACTCATGTTCATGGTACATTTTGGCTCCCTAAGGTTGTTAGTGAAACATGAAAACAAACAAATCAGAATAAAAATTGATTATCATCAATTAATAGTGGTAATGACAGAGGAGCAGCACAACTTAATGGTTCACTTACCTGAGTGAGCTACCCTGGCCAATCGAGGGTCAAATCCAACACTCAGTATCTTCGATGTCCTTGCCAGAAAGAAATTCACCACACCACTGGTTATCACACAGTTTGGAAACCCGTCCAAGCCATGAAAGCCACCAGTCTTGGAAAACAAGCATTCTCCATCATCAAGGTTTCCATTTTCATACCACAGCCTAAAGTGGAATTGATTCCTGTCTACTGAGCCTCCAACCTACAAAGATTATAATTCATGTGATTGAAAAATGGTATGATGTATCTTTCTTTCTCAATGATATGCTTGTTCTACTCTCACAAGTGTCAATGTCAGTATTTGCTAAGCCTTTTCCCACTGGGAGCACATTTCAGGATTTATAATTGTCACAACCTCTCGCTGAGAAGTGGAGAACCATGAAGTGAGGTGTGGTGGTGGGTTTTCAGCCATTCTTGCCTCAAAGCACCTCAGAAATACCGCTCACAACTCCACTTGTCCTCTCATCTCCACCTTGAGAAGCCTTGGTCTCAGTTTTCCTCTCTTGAATACATTTAAAGAAGCAGATACTTGTGAAGTATATTCCCTTCATTGTCCACTTTTTCCATCACTCCGTTGCTTCCTTTTTCTCTTCCTTCTTCTTTTCCTTCCTTTGTTCCTCCTTTCCTTCCTTCCTTCATCACTCCCTTCCTTCCTATCTTCCTCCACCCTCCCTTCCTTAATTTTTTCCTCCTTCCGTTCCTTCCTGAATCCATTTCTCCTTTTCAACCTTGCTCCTTTACTTCCACCTTGCCTCTCTCATTTCCTCCATTCCTTCTTCCTACATTCCTCCCATCCTTCATCCCTTCCTCAAACATTATGAGTTAAAAGCCTGCAAAGATGGGTTTCTTTAACATCCTGCATTTTTTCTGTAAGTGACAGATTACCAGCAGTTGTGTAGGAACATGGTCAGTGCAAAGTTGTAACTGGGAGTTAAGACCTGATGGTCCCTGGGGACTGGGAGTTCAGAGTATCTGATTTTGAGGTAGAGTGATAGTCGTCAGGATGCTGGCTGAAAAGTAACATCCATTTTCCTCCTAGACCAAGAGCATTGCAATAAAGGAATTTTCCTTATGTATTCAACATTTCCTGCCTTCTTTTAAAGAAAGTCAAAAAAAAGAGGAACCTTGAAATGAAGGTATGCAGACTCATTAAACTATTGGAATGACCAATCTCATCCTGAACAGAATTGGTCACAGTTTTTTATCCTATTTTGCCAAAACTGGGAATGGCTGGATCTGAGATAAGTTGAGTTCCTATTTTAGTCTTTCATCTTTTAATCTCTTTGCTGAACAAAGCCCATCATTTTTTTTTAGACAGAAGAAACATTGATAAAATTAATTTCCAGCTTTAATCAATGATTGACTTTGAGCTTGAGGGTAATAGGTGGAAATTCATATTTGTGTCTAACCATGAACAAAACATCAATCTCTATATTTTCTACACAAATTAGAATTCATTTTTGGGATGCATCAATGTGAAATGTCATCAGATTTAAATATTTGAGAAAATTCTTTCATTTTTCATTCAATTCCATTCTTACCACATCCAAGTTTGTATTTTCCAATACTTCCACCAACTTTTCCAATTTTGTATGTTCTGTGAATAAAAAATCTTCATCTACCCAAAGAAGGTATTTAGTTGTGACCTGAGAAGCTGCCAAGTTTCTTCCAGCAAACCATCCCTGTGAAGAAGACCATGGCAAGAGTTTCAAAATCAATAAATGAGGAGAACTTGGTTCTTTGAAATTATGTTACGAGAAGTATTTAGCTTAAAGTGAAGGGTAAGTAATAGTCGTGGGATTACTGTACTCTTCGACTTTCGTTCAATTGCTCATTAGCATGTCCAATTAACCCTTAACAATGAACCCTTTATGATCTGGTTTGAATATATCATGTTTAAGCCTAACCCTACATGCACCTACTGATACCTCCAGTTATAAAACTATCGCAGGCATACAGTGTCACACGGTCACTGACATTCTGCCCTCTTCTTTGTGGGAAATGGTCGCACACAATCGAATGGAACAGAAGAGAACTAGTAGAGTGGTCGAGGACACCTGCATCTCCTGAACTGTGTCGATGATGTGGCTCTAACGATTCTGAGGTAGGTAGTTGCAGAGCCCATGTCATTTGGAATTGATGAGAACATTGAGGATGACAGGGTATATCTGCTTTATGCAGCTTCCCAGCACCCAGTTCATCTTCATCCTGTGATCCGGTGTGATGAGCAAGTTGCTGATGGTGTTTTTTCCTTATTATTCATTCACAGTATGAGACTATCATTGGCCATTATGTCATGTAAGCCTTGCCACAAATGAAGGGTGTTCATGTGATTAGTCTGGGTTCAAGGTCAGTTTGGTATTGCCTCTTGGTCTCCCTGATGGCCTTGTGAAAGTCATATCTGCATTTCCTTTAAAGGTCAGAATCACCCTACTTGAATGCTTCAGACCTGGACTTCAGTAGGGGGTGGATCTCCTGGTTCATCCCCGGCTTCTGGTTGGGGAATGTTCATACTAACTTCTTCGGCACACAGTCACCTACACATTTACAAATGAAATCTGTAACAATAATGACATATTCATTCAGGTTGGCCACTGAGTTCTTGAGTATGGCCAATCCACCGACTCTAAGCAGTCCTGCAGGAGCCCTTCTACTTCCTCAGACCAGAGCTGCACTACTTTCTGTATCAGGTCCTTATGCTTCAATCTGCTTGTAAGCCAAGAGTTGAAGCACAGCTTTATGTTCTGATTTTGCAAAATGCAGATGGGGGAACGGGATGGTAGGCATCTTTGATGGTTGTGTAGCAATGGTTAAAGATTTCAGACTTTTGCTGGGACAGGAGGTATGTTGGTGAAATTTTAGTAGCACGTTATGGAGATTGGCCTGTTGAAGTCACTGGCTATGATGAACATTGGAGTATTCCATCTCAGACTGTTTGTAACATTGTATACTTCGTCAAATGCGCTCTTCACTTCTGCATGGGGTGGGATATAGACCATTGTCAGGATAGCGGAGGTGAACTTGCATGCAGGTAGTATGGAGGGCCTAGTGGTATTATCGCTGGACTAATCCAGAGACCCAGGTAATGTTCTCGGGGCCTGGGTTCAAATCCTGCCATGGCAGGTGGTGGAACTTGAATTCAATGAAAAATCTGGAATTAAGAGTCTAATGATAACCATGAACCATTGTCAATTGTCATAAAAACCCCACCTGATTCACTAATGTCCCTTAGAGAAGGAAACTGCCATCCTTACCTGGTCTGCCCTACACGTGACTCCAGATCCACAACAATGTGGCTGACTCTTAACTGCCCTCTGGGCAATGAGGGGTGGGCAACAAATGCAACAAGAACATAAAGCTGTGCTTCAACTCTTGGTTTACAAGCAGAAATTGAAGCATAAGGACCTGCTACAGAAAGTAGTGCAGCTCTGGTCTGAGGAAGCAGAAGGGCTCCTGCAGGACTGCTTAGAGTCGGTGGACTGGTCCATACTCAAGAACTCAGTGGCCAACCTGAATGAATATGTCATTATTGTTACAGACTTCATTTGTAAGTGTGTAGGTGACTGCGTGCCGAAGAAGTCAGTATGAACATTCCCCAACCAGAAGCCGGGGATGAACCAGGAGATCCACCCCCTACTGAAGTCCAGGTCTGAAGCATTCAAGTAGGGTGATTCTGACCTTTAAAGGAAATGCAGATATGACTTTCACAAGGCCATCAGGGAGACCAAGAGGCAATACCAAACTGACCTTGAACCCAGACTAACCACATGAACACCCTTCATTTATGGCAACGCTTACACGACATAATGGGCTATAAAGCGAAGTCAAAGACAATTGCGGGCAACAGTCCATCCCTTCCTGATGAGCTCAATGCACTCTACACTCGCTTTGAACAGAAGGGCAGTGAAACGATGTCAGCCGTCCCATCCGTCTCAGATGCACCTGAACGCATGGTTACCATCCCAAATGCTAGTTTGGCCTTCTTGAGAGTGAACCCACAGAAAGTGATTGGCCCAGATGGAGTCCCCAGCTGTGCACTCAGATCCTGTGCGGACCAACTGGCAGGAGTATTCTCAGACATCTTCAATCTCTCTTTACTACAATCCAAAGTCCCTACCTGCTTCAAGAAGACCACCATCATACCAATGCCAAAGAAAATCCATGCAGCATGCCTCAATGACTACCACCCGATGGCACTGACATCCATAAAAATTATGAAGTGCTTCAAGATGTTAGTCATGCTCACATCAACTCCATTCTTCCAGATTGCCTTGATGCCTTGCAAATTGCCTACAGGTGTAACAGATCCATGACAGATGTCATCTCCTTGGCCCTACACTCATCCCTTGATCATCTGGAGAACAAGGATACCTAGATCAGGCTCCTACTTATTGAGGACAGCTCTGCTTTCAACACTGTAATTCCAAACAAACTCATCTCTAAACCCCGGGACCTAGGTCTTTGCTCCCTGCTCTGTAGCTAGATTCTCGACTTCCTCATCAACAGGCCTCAGTCAGTGAGGATAGATGACAACACCTCCTCCATGATAATCCTCAACGCCAGTGCCCCAAAAGGCTGTGTAGTCAGCCCCCAACTACAATCCTTACACACACATTACTGTGTGGCCATATTCCACACCAACTCCATTTACAAGTTTGCTAATGACACCACTGTTGTAAGTTGGATCCCAAAGCAATGATGAGATGGAGTACAGGAAGGAGATAGGGCGTAGAGACAACAATCTCTCCATCAATATCAGCAAAACAAAGCAGCTAATCATTGGCTTCAGGAAGCAGAGTAAAGGGCACACCCCCGTCTGCATCAGAGGTGCTGAGGTGGAGAATACTATTTCCTCATTGCAGCATGAAAACCTGGTTTTAGATTGTGCTGGATACATTTGAATAAGGTGGCATTCCTCAAAACTCTTTAGGAAACTTGACAATGATCTGTTTTGGGAGCCTCAATGCTATACTTTTTGAGGGCATAACATAAGCCTTCATTGTTATGGATGTAAGAGTTCAGGATTTGCTTTAATAAAATTGTGTTATCTTTCTAATGTTCACCCCATTTATCTCCTCATGTTTCTCACATGCAGATTGTGGTGACTGGAGTCATTATGGCATTGATCTGACTACAATGACACTGTATAAGGAGAAAACAGCAACAGCAAACATTAGCTGCAGTTGCACAGTATCCAGAGATCGAGCAGGTGAAGATCCATCAAGGAGCCAGAGGAGAATATTGAATCCCCACATCTATAAGCCTCACCATTATTATCTTCAGTTGTCTGAAAGAGCATGCAGGCACTGAGTAAGTAGGTTCTATGCTATCATCACGAAACTGTGTCAACTGCTGGAGCAGGAATTAGGCTCAGAAGGAGTAGGTTACAATCCCAGCTCTGTGGCCATCAAGGTTACCCTGAATCTTTGTGCCAGCAATTCATTTCAATGACCAACTGGGGGCCTGTGTAGCATTTGCCAATCATGCACCCAGAAATGCATCTGGGGTGTAACAGATGCCATTTTCCTCCATGAGAAAGAGAGTCAAGCAGCTTGACAATGGGATTCTCCACAGTCACAGTCTTCCCCTGGTTCAGGATGAACAATCACTAGCCTGCAGAGTTCACCTACCAAAACAGCTTTCACTCAAATTATGATTACATCAGTTAACATTGGAGCTGCAATGACTCTTCCATGCTACAGAACTCAGAACATCCTTCCAAGACCCACAGGCCACAACAGGATGGCTGCTGGGATACAGGAGGTAACCCCTCCAACCATAGTTCATAACATCTTTACGAAATCCTTGGACAGACTCAGAAGGAAGATGCTCATACTTTGAACAGGGCTATGTTGGAACAGACTATAGCCCTCCTTAAGATGAAACTGATAAAGATCAAGAAGTAATAAGGGAAACTATCAGACAAAAATAAAACACATATGCAGTTCCAGTTGCAAATGCCTGTAAAACTTGAAATTTGTATTTCCAAATCCAAACAGCTCCACACCACACCCCTCTCCTGATCTCATAAGCGAAACTGTACAAGTGGCAACAGCAACAGTAAGAGGAGCCAACAGGGAGTGATAAACTTATTCAACTGGAAGAGGATTTAGACAAAAGCATTACTTACACTGATTTAATGTCTATACAAATGCAAGTTGTTTTTTCAGGATTGGATTGCCTGAAAAGCAGCTCATATATGGACCATCAGAACTTAGGATTCAAAGTAATGTAATGGGAAGGTTCTTATTAATTTTTAACTAACTGAACATCTCAAAATGAACAGGCAGCCCAGGATCAGATCATACCTCTTCCCGTTCACTAGGCATTATCTGTTGACTGGTTCAGTTCGTGAACTGACCAATTGCTCCTCATTTGGAATTTAGAAGGGGAGGTGGAGTGTCTCTCTGCAGTCTGCAGTTTAATTTCCCTCACCAGTCACTGTAAGCTGTTGCTTTTAACAACAAAGTCAGAGACTTTATACTGTGAGAGCCAGTTACGCTGTGCCTCCTGCAAGGAAGTGAAAGTACTTGGAGAAAAGAGATTGAAAAACAATGAATCCTGACAAACAAGACGATCATGTCGGCAAACCCTATGAACAGGGGCCATTGACTTGCCTTCCTAGTTATTCCTTCTACCCATATTGCAATATCTTTTGTCTGTCTGTTTGTGTGTGCAGGGGGAGCCTTATATGAGGGTCAGAGTTGTAATTAGTCAAGTTATATGTCAGCAGCTCATAGTTATTTACCTGTAGCTAGAATCTATTGATTTGTAAGAAATAGTCATTCTTGTTAAGTACAGAATCCTGGTCCGTTCTTCCTGCCAACCTGGATTTAAAATGAGGTAAATTGGGAACTTCACATACAGCTATAAAATCTTTAACTTTTGTGATGACTCTGGGAATATCAGGGCTTGATTTCCAGTGTGCTATACCTCGTTAAGGTGTGACAGGCTAGAAATCAGTTAAGGTATCATATATAATATCAAATCATTGAAATGTGCTTTCAAATCGAATACCCGTTTCAAATCTGTATAGAATATAAATTGAATACAGAAATCATTACTATACTTTCGCAAATGGCATGAAGTATTGTTCGATGTGTGATCCGTCAATTTTTTCAGGAATTTCACTGTCATCTGCAATGATTATCGTCATGTTTGGGTAAAATCTTCGAATGCTGTCTATCAAGATTCGAAGCTTATGATATCTTAAAAATGTCTTTGTTGTAATGGTTACCAAGGAATTGATGTCATTGTCTGGAATGAGGAAAGACAATACGAGTTAATCAAACAAACAAATTTTATTTAAATACATTAATCAAATCTCTAAATTTTATGACCCCAATTAAAACCACATTTACCTGGACCGGGATCAAACAACCGTGGCATTGGGGGCTGCCTGATAATAATCGGAAATTCAGCAACATGCTGTTCAAACTGAAAAGACACTTTTGTAAAAATAAAACAAAACACAAAATTAAGTTCAAAACAATGCATTTTTCAAGTAGTAGACTTTAAAATTTAACTGACTGATTGCAACAAAAACAACAGAAAACATTTAAGCCATACAACAATTTATTATTATTTTTTATCCCTTCATGTGTGTGAGTATCACTGACTAGGCTAGCATGTATTGTATCAATCACTAATTGCCCAAGATGGGGCAGTGAGCTGCCTTTTTGAACTGCTGCAACTCTTGGGGTGTAGAGACACCAAAGGTGCCGTTTGGAAGACAGTTCCAGGATTTTGATCCAGTGACAGTGATATAGTTCCAAGTCAGGACCATGAGTGGTTTGGAGGGGAACTTGCAAGTGGCGGTGTTCCCATAGCCTTGTCCTTCTCAGTGGTGGAGGTTTCAGGTATCAAAGGTGCTGTTGAAAGAGCCTGATGAGTTACTGCAATGCATCTTGTAGATGGTACACACTGCTGCCACTGTCTGTCAGAGATGGAAGGAGTGAATGTTGAAGATTGTTGATGAGGTTCTAATAAAGCAGCTGCTTTGATCTGATTAGTACAGTAAAGTCAGCAGGCAAAGTGTGCTGGTGTAATCCAAGCTGAGTGTTAGTCAGTAGGTTATTCCTTTGCAAGTGCCACTTGATACCACTGTCAACAATCTCTTTCATCACTTTGCTGATGATGGATAGATGATTGATGCAGTGATAATTGGCCAAGTTGGGTTTCAGTTGCTTTTATGCACAGGACATACCTGGGCAAATTTCCACATTGTCAATGTTGTAGATACGCTTGAAAATTTAGCTAGTTCTGGAATACAAATCTTCATTGTAAGTGTTAGAATGTTGTCAGGGCCAGTGATGTTTGGTCAATTCCTGATATAATGTTAAATGAATTGAATTGTTTGAAAACTTGCACCTGTGATGTTGGGAGAAGAAGGACATTTCTGGATCTTCCAAATGAGACATGTTATCATTACTAATATCCTACTCATCCTGAAATTTGGGCAATTTCATTACAGGATAGATAGTTTTTGTCATGACCATTGAACCTCTTATTTGAAAAAAAAAGAGGTAGATATAAAACAGGGAATTATAGTCTGGTAAGCCTAACTTCAGAAGTGGGGAAAATTCTCGAATCCATTATCAAGGACTTTATAGCGGAGCATTTAGAAAGCAGTGGCAGGATGAGACAGAGTCAGCATGGATTTATGAAGAGGAAATCATGCTTGACAAATCTGTTGGAATTCTATGAAGATGTAACTAGTAGAGCTGACAAGGGGGAGCCAGTTGATGTGGTATATTTGGACTTCCAGAAGCATTTGACAAATAGATTATTGTGCAAGATTAAAGCGCATGGGATTGGGGGAAGTATATTGAGATGGGCAGAAAACTGGTTGACAGAGAGGAAACAAACAGTTGAAATTAATGGGTCCGTTTCAAGTTGGCAGGCAGTAAGCAGTGAGGTGCCACAGGGATCAGTGCTGGGATCCCAGATTTTCACAATATATATTAATGATTTAGATGAGGGAACAAAATGTAACATCTAAAGTTTGCAGATAATACCAAGTTGCGTGGGAGGGTGAACTGTCACAAGGATGCAGAGATCCTTCAGCATGATCTCGACAGGTTGGGTGAGTGGGCAAATCGATGGCAGATGCAGTATTATTTGAATAAATGTGAGGTTATTCACTTTGGAAGCAAAAACAAGGCGGCAGATTACTACCTGAATAGCTGTAAATTGGGAGAGGGGAGTGTGCAGTGGGACCTGGGTGCCCTTGTGCACCAGTCACTGAAGGTAAGCACGCAGGTGCAGCAGGCGGTAAAGAAGGCAAATGATATGTTGGCCTTCATTGCAAGAGGTTTCAAGTACAGGAGCAAGGATGTGTTGTTGAAGTAACACCGGGTATTAGTGAGGCCACACCTAGAATATTGTGTGCAGTTTTGGTCTCCTTTTCCGAGGAAGGATGCCCTTGCTCTTGAGGGAGTGAAAGTTTACCAGGCTGATTCCGGGGATGGCAAGACTGATATTTGAGGAACAATTGACTAGATCAGGATTGTTTTCACTGGTGTTCAGACAAATGAGTGGTGATCTCACAGAGACTTATAAAATTCTAATAGGACTTGACAGTGTAGATGCAGGGAGGATGTTCCCGGTGGTGTGTGTGTCCAGAACCAGGGGTCACAGTCTGAGGATTCGGGGTAAACCATTTGGGACAGAGATGAGGAGACATTTCTTCACCCAAAGAGTGGTGAGCCTATGGCATTCATTAACACAGGAAGTAGTTGATGCCAAAACATTGAATGTATTCAAGAGGCGACTACATATAGCACTTGGGGTGAATGGGATCAAGGGTTAAGGGGAGAAAGCAGGATTAGGCTATTGAGTTGGACGATCAGCCATGATTGTGAAGAATGGCAGAGCAGGCTTGAAGGGCCTAATGGCCTCCTCCTGCTCCTACCTTCTATGTTTCTACGTTTTATGAGATATTTTGTCTCAGTTGATCCTACCTTTGAGCTCTTCCAACAAAAATAATGAATGGAATGACTTTAGCACTAGTTTTACAATAGAAGTTGAGAACGCAGCCATGAGGAAGTATCAAGTCCCTCCCCACAGCAACATTAATAAGAGTGGCATGGTTAGCAAACAGGAAACATGCTACATCCTATCAGTCATTGGCACAGTGTGTTCGAATACCAATGAATGTCCAGTCATGGCATAGTGACTTAAACCATTTAACTGACTTGTAGTCTTCCAGTATACTTTTCTCTCCCTGAATCATGTATTCCTGCTTTCTGTGGATATATAGTTGGCTGTGCAAGTTGAAGATTGATATGCATCCGTATTTACTGATACACTGATCTTAACGTTTGCGGAATGCAGTTTGCATCTGCTGATTTTTTTTTTGTGCAAGTTGCTGTAAGATTCTATATGAGTGGACTGGTCCAGGAACAGAAACTGTTTCAAAATGCTTTGCCTGTATATAGTAAGTGTCCCTATGATGAATACTTCTCAGTGTGGGTTTTATGTTTTGTTTTGGTATATAATTATATATTTGTGGCCTGAACAGTTCAAGGTGCCCCATAAATGAGATTAAAATTGGAGTAGTGTAGGAAGTGAAAATTGGAGGGGTGGCTGGAATTTGGACTATTGTAGGGCTGGAGGAGGTTATAAAGTTAGGCTTGAAACTATAGAGGGATTTGCAAATGAGGAGCAACATTGTAAAATTAAAGGCATAGATGGATTGAGAACCAATGCAGGTCAATGATCAAAGAGGTGATGGGTAAACTGGGTATGGTACGACTTATGATTCTGGGAGCAGAATTTTGGATCAACTCAATTTTATAAGGATGGAAGATGGAAGTCTGACCAGATGTGCTTTGGAATATCTAAATCTGGAGGTCACAAAGACAATAGATGAGATATCAGGAGTCAATGAGCTAAGGCAGTGACAGGAATGGGTTAAAGTAGATGTCTTGGTGTTTGGGGAGGTCTGGGTGCTAACTAGAAGATGAAGTTTCTAATTTACAAAGGGCAATCATTTTGTTAGCTATAATGTCTCCTAGCATAGTGAATAGCTGGAAAAGTAAGTGTTTTTAATGTGTATGCCATATAGGAAGGTTTGGAATAATTTATCAGTTAAGGGGTTGATTTCACCTTCAAAGTGAATGGAAAGGTATTTTGAGGCTATATTAATAAATAAAACATTAAGGGGTATACTTACCTATATCAGCTGTATTTATGTGGTATTTTGTGCTTGTGTAAGTAATATATTTAAGCACAGCATTTATGAGTTCCAAGTTTGGGCTTTTTAATATTAACTGTTTTTCACCTAATCCTTTCAGCACAGCCTTAGGGACCTCAGCAATTGTGTTAAATACTCCTTGTGTAGCTGTTAGTTTCACCTAAATAACAAGAAAATAGATAATTAAACTCACATAGGTGCCTTTTAATGGATAAAATATGATGCAGAGTTTTGCAGAATGCTACAGATGTTTGTGTAATTGAGCATCTGGAAAAGATAGTGAATGTTAAGATCTTTTGAGTGCATGATCACACTATTTATTATTTGAATATAGTGTAAATGAATGTCAGTCGTGGCTAAGTTGGTAGTACTCTTGCTTCTGAGTTTCCAGTTTCAGATTTATACTCCACTTCCGGTCTTGGGTGCAAAAAAGAATCCTGACACACCGATAAAATAATGGGGAATTGCTGCATTGTTGGAATGTTGTCTTTGAGATAAGACAGTCAGGATGCCATCTTCTTGCTTGAGGAGATATAAAACACTGTGTTGAAGAAGAACAGGTGTGCCATCGGTGGTATTCTGACCAGTATTTATCCCTAAAGCTACATCACAAAAACTGATGATTTGATCATTATCACATTGTTGTTTTTGTACAGAAATTGGCTGGAATGGTTCCTACACTGCAACATTGAATGTATTTGCATCCATCTGTGGCTGTAAAATACCTAAGTTGTCTGGTGGTCTTGAAAAATGCTATGCCAATTTACGTCTTTTAGCTTTAAATCTTTGAATGAATTTGCAGAGGCGCTGTTGCGCTGCAATGTGTTGTCTGGTATCTATAACACCATAAGATGCAATTTCATAAGAAGTAGGAAACATTTGGTCCACCAGAGCTCCTCTGACACTCAATGAGATAATCACCGATCTGATCATCCTCAACTCAAATTTCCTGCCTTTTCTCATTTTTCTTATTGATAAAAATACATGTATATTAGCCTTGAATATACAGCATCCACAGCCCTGTCAGTGAGAAACTCTACAGATTCCCTACCCTTGCCATGCAGATTGTGCTTGATTACATTATATGTTTCTAAATGTTCCATTACAACATATATAATAGACTTTAACATTTTCCCAGCAACAGATGACAAGCTAACTGGCCTATACTTACCATTTTTGTGTCTCTTTCCCTTTTTGAATAAATGGGAAGTTTTCCAATCCTCAAGGACTATTTTAGAATCTAAGTATCCTTGGAAGATTACTACCAATGCATCCAATATCTCTGTAACTACAGCCTTTAATATCTTAGAATGCAATACATCCGATCTAGGGTGTTATCAGCCTTTGGCTCCATTGGTATTTTTTCTCTAGTAATACATAATGTAGTTCTTTCTCTCCCTTTTGCCCCTTAATTCCTTAGTATTTCTTAAATGTTATTGTGTTTTCTACCATGAAGATCGATGCAAAACATTTATTCAACACCTCTGACACTTCCCGTTTCCCCATGATTATTTTCCCAGCCTTGTTGATGAAGAGGCCTTTGCTCTCATTCGCTGTCTTTTCTTATATGTTGTGAAAAACTCTTGCTGTCTATCTTGATATTATTTGCGAGTTGACTCTCAAAGCTTATTTTCTACCTGCAGTTGTTGACTTGCTCACCGAGCTGCTATGTTTGTTTGCAGACGTTTCGTCACCATACTAGGTAACATCATCAGTACTCCTCCAAGTGAGTGCCATCCACAAGCAACCTCAATTCCTACACAAATGCATCAGAAAACAGGTACTGCCACACAATGTAAAATACAAGCCACCACTAAACAGCTGAACAGAAAGGCCTCAGAAAGCTATGGGTAATGATTAATGATGCCCACAACCGTCGAGTCACCCTACCATACATTAAGGACATATCTGAGATGACCAACAGATTCTCCGCTGCCTAGGAATCATGGTAGCCCACAAACCGACAACAACACTACAACAGCTACTGACGAGAAACGTCTGCAAACAATCTTACCAGCTTGGCCAGCAAGTCAACAACCGCATCAACAACCCGAGCTACAAGCCTTCTCTAAAACCTTATTTTCTACCTCTTTACTATTGTTTCAGTCATCTTTAATTAGTTTTTAAACTTTCCCAATCCCCTGGTTTACCACATCTTTGCTACATGGTATGTTTTCTTTCCTTCAATTTGATGCTACCATGATTGGTTTATCCCTTTCTGACAATCCTCCTTTCTCAGTAGGATGTATCTTTGTATTAAATGATAAAGCAGTCCATCTGTATCATGGTTGAATTTAAAGATTGAACTATGAGAAAGGAATATGAAAAGACTGCAACTAAATAGCAGTGTTAATGGAAGGATTTGCCTGTCTATGACAGAAGGTAATCCAGACAGAATAAAACTAGCTTTTTTCTCCTAGCTCCCTCACATCCACCAGATTTCCTGCTTGGAAATCAGTCTGGTTGGGAAGATTGGCTTCCACTCAAATGAACAGCTGTCCAGACCATTGAATACCATCTTAAACAAATGGTAAACCGTTTTTTGCAGCTGGATAAATACCCATTCCCTTGGACAGAGGATTTATACGCAAAGCTGGCTGGGGTCTATCCTTCACGAAGATGGACATGAGCCATGTATACTTGCAATTGCAGTTAGATGAGGATTCCCAGAAGTAGCCTGGAATTAATATCCATCAGGGTTTGTCCCAGTATACAAGCCTGCCATTTGGGGTATCGTCAGCCTGTTCAATTTTTCACCGGATGATGGAGAACATCTTGCAAGGTCGCCATTTATCTGGATGACTTTCTAATGACAGGGAAGACTAACAATGAACACTTTAGAGAGGTTAGATATAGTCCTAAGGCATTTCTCCAAGGTGGGCATACACCTAAAAAGGGAAGAATGTGTGTTCCAGGTCCCCAAAGTGACCTGCTTGGACTACAGCGTCAATAAGTTGGAAGATAAAGGAAGGGCAATCAAAGGTGCCCTGGCTCCCAACTCTATCCAGGAGTTTAGGTCATTTCTTGAGCTGGTAAGTTATTATGGAAAGTTCATACATCAGCTGGTCTTCATCCTGTCACCTTTGCATCAACTCTTAAAAAAAGGGTCAGCTTTGGAAATGGTTGCATAGAGAAGCCATAGCTTTCAGTGAAGTAAAGAAACAGCTATCATCTGCTAAGTTGTTGGTACAATATGATCCCAAGAAAGATCTGGTATTGACATGGAATGCCTCCCCATATGGTGTGGTATTTGCTCATAGATGGCCCAATGGAGAGGAATGCCTAATAGTGTAAGCATCCAGAATATAAATACGTCCAGCTACAGAAGGAAGGGCTGGTGGTCATACTTGGTGTCAGGAAGTTCCACCATTACCTTTATGGATGAAAATTTGTGATGGTCACAGACCACAAACCCCTACCTGGTTTGCTTAAAGAGGACAAGGCAGTGCCGCACGTGACTTTGGGCCACATTCAGTGGTTGGGCTTTAATACTATGTGCTTGTAATTACAAGTTAGAACACCATCCAGGAAGCTGAGTAGCAGATACATCACCGGTGGCACACTCAGTGGAAGAGTCTGTAATGGTATTAAATTTCTGGACATGCTCCTAGTCACAGCTGACAATATCAGAGTTTGGATGCAGAAACATCTAGCCCTTTCAAAACTGAAACAACGGGTGATGGTGGCGGAAACCAAAGGGCCATCAGAACCAGAAATTAAAACATTTTTGGACCCTGAGAGACTAGATCACCATAGAGGATGACATATTGTTGTGGGGAGCAAACATGATTGTCTCAAGCAAAGGTTGCTGCCAAATACAAGTTGAACTCCCCAGGATCATCCAGGGGTCTCCAAAATGTAGATGTTGTCAAGAGCCTATGTCTAGTGGCCAGGGTTGGATGCAGACATAGCTGCTTTGGTGGGGGCAGTGCCCAGAGTGCCAACAAGGACAAAGGTTACCGCAAACAGATCCCCCACATCTGCAGGATTAGTCAGGTAAACTGTGGACTTGGATGCATGTCGACTATGCAGTTCCTGCAATGGGTTCAATGTTCTTAGTCATCGTAAATGCCCACTCAAAGTGGCTGGATTTGCTAGAGTTCATTCATCAAACATCGGGACAATGATTGAAAAACTACGTGCATCTTTTTCGTTAAATGGACTCATCGGACATGTTAGTCACAGATAACAGGCTATGGTTTACCAGCAGGGAATTTGAGTATTTCCTAAAGCTGAATGGGATTCAAGCAATAAAGACAGTTCCACACTATCCATCATCCAATGGCCTGGTAGAAAGAGCAGTCCAAACTCGAAGGCAGGCTTAAAGAAGCAGCTTAGAGCTCACCGGATACCAAACTGCACAGTTCTTATTTGATTATAGGGCCACCGTACATGCAACTACAGGGATAGCGCCACCCGAGCTGCTACTGGGTAGAAGACTCCACACCAGGTTACGTCTGATCGTTCCGGACCTGCGGGGGTTGTGAGGGGGAGAGTGAAACGGCGTCAGGAATGCCAATGCTGGACACAAGACTCCGCCAAGCGAGAGAAAGTTTGATACAGAGGATGAAGTTTGGCGCAAGAATCACAGAAATGTCCCCACATGGGTAAAAGGCATGCTTGATCAGAGGTCAGGAACAGTGACATATAAAGTTCGGGTAGGTGCGACGGTCACGAACAAACACCTGTACCATATGCAAGCCATGAATTTGCAAAAATTGCAGGCGCAAAACATGCCCGGCTCCTGGGAACAGTCGGAAAGGTTGCTGGAACCTGTGGGTTCACCCTCTCCATCAAGCATTGACGAGTCCTTGGAATCAGAGGTGGACATGACAGATGTAGCTGCCTTGACACCTTTGTCGCTGGGCAAAGAGAGTGAAATTCCACTGAGGTGCTCCTAGCACAAGAGGTGCGTTCCCTTGCATTACATGCTGCCCGTATTGAATGCTGAGTCAAAGGAACATGACCCAGTGCTGAAACGTCCCAGGAGGATCTCCTAGAAATAGGACTGGCCTATCTGCTCTGATGTAGAGGGGGAGGGATGTAGTGATTGTAACAAGTTCACCATGTGGACTTCATGGAATATGAGCTCCCTGATTGGGGCTGTTAATCTGGTCCAATCAGGGAGCCTTGGCTGACAGATAAAAAGGGGAGGGTCAGTGAAACTTCCACTCTGATAGCTGACTCTGAAGAGGCAATATTAAAGTAAAGGATAGTTCATGTGTATATAAAGGTAACTTGATGGTGGGATACCAGCCTCTGTGGAGTTATTTCAGTATGATTTGGTTATAGTCTTTCTTTGTCAAGTGTGTCAATTTGACACCATGGAGATGAGGGAGCCCGAACGGGAGGAGGAGTGAGAAAGAGAGACAGGGAGCGAAGTAGAAAGAAAGAGAGAGAGAGAAGGAACAGGAAGAAAGAAAAGCAATATAAAATTAATACAAAATTAGCTGGTGGGATTTGTACCTGGGCCTCTAGGCCTAGGGGTAGGGACACTAAAGAGAGTCCTTTATGTACCACTTAGTGGGTGCAGTCTAATTCATTTAAAAGTAATAATCAGATTTAACTGGGGAGAATCAAGACACATACATTAAAATCTGATAAAGGAATGGCAAAGGATAAATGCATTGAGTCTTTGCTGTTAATACTGCTAATTGTGATTTTAGACTTTCAAGAATTTATATGCAACAGTATGTTGTTCCCTTGCTGATATTTTTAGTTGAATACAAAACAAGTTTTGCAAGGGAGTTAGGCAAATTATTGTTTGGACTCATCCGGTAGGCTTGCGAAGTGAATAGGGTTGAAATGACAGTTTGACTATAGAACATTTAAATTTTTATCATCAAATTCTCATCCACACTTCATTTTATTTATTTAATTAATTCAAATATTGGATGATTCTGCTCTTGGTGAAATAGTGACTTTAATTGAGGAATAGAATCTAATCTCAACTAAAAGGCAGTATCTCTGACTCTTTCAGTAGTACACTGTAGCATTGGCCTTGTTTACTTCCTCAGATTCTGGAATGAGACAAGGGCCCACTATCTTCTGACGCTGAAGTAAAAGTGCCACCACTGAGTCACGCTGGCTCCACAGCCCTGTTGGTCTCCCAGGTACAGACGAGCAGCTCGAACATAGTGCAGGAAGTCTATCTGTACCAGTGGAACTGTTGCCAGGCATGGTTTCAGACCAACAAAAACTTGGAAGAAACGGAGATGCACCCACCTTATAGTCCTGTCGATTGAATGCAAACACACCCAAACCTGAAAGAAGAGATTGTGTTTTATACAAAATGTGGAAGTGAAAATGAATAACATTCATTGCTTTCCTAGAACTTAAGTTGGATATTCTCACCTGGAATGACAATTGACTGTAGTGGCATTACTTCAACTCCATGGATGGGATAGCTTAGTGGAGAATTAGGTTGGGATGTGATTATTTTCTTCAATGGTGATTCAGTCCTGTGTAAAAATAATTAATTTTCTACCACTTAGATATTTGTAGTCAACCTGTTCAAATGCATTACAATGTACCTCTGGAGTAGATGGGACTTGTACCTGTGCCTCTTCACCCACAGGTAGGGAAACTACCACGATCACAAGATGGCCCTTTATATACCATGTAGTGAGTGTACTCTAACTCATTTTGTCTGCAACAAACCCGATTAACCTGAATATCCAGTTAAAACTGGATTAAGTTTAAAATGCTGTTCTAAACCAAAGTAAATTTATACACATTAAAGGAACACAAAACAAAAAGTTGGTTAAAACACTAATGAAAAGGGCAATTAAGTAATTTGTGCAAATACTAAAACTGCCCACTATGTTAGATTGACTAGGTAATGTATGAACATCAAACAAATTCAGAAATCACACAACACCAGGTTATAGTCCAACAGGAGGTTGGCGGTGAGGAAGAAGATCTTAGGTTACAGGAGGATATAAATAGATTGGTCAGATGGGCAGATCAGTGGCAGATGGATTTTAACTTTGATATATATGAGGTGATCTACTTTTGAAGAATTAACAAGATAAGGGAATACTCGATGAAAAATATGACACTAGGAAGCTGAGAGAAAGTAGAACATAGAACAGTACAAGCCCTCTGGCCCACGATATTGTACGAACCTATTATCCTACTCTAATATCAAACTACCCTGCATACCCTACATTTTACTATCCTCCATGTGCCTATCCAAGAGTCACATAAAAGTCTCTAAAGTATCTGACTCCACTACCACCACCGGCAGCACATTCCACACATCCACCACTCTCTGTGTCATGAACCTATCTCTGACCTCTCCCCTATAACTTCCTCCAATCACCTTAAAATTGTGCCCCCTCATAATAGTCATTTCTGCCCTGGGAAAAAGTTTCTGGCTATCCACTCTATCTATGCCTCTCATCATCTTGTACACCTCTATCAAGTCACCTCTCATCCTTCTTCGCTTCAATGAAAAAAGCCCTAGCTCCCTCAATCTTTCCTCATAAGACCTGCTCTCCAGTCCAGGCAGCATCCTGGTAAATCTCCTCTGCACCCTCTCTAAAGCTTCCATATCCTTCCTATAATGAGGCGACCAGAACTGAACACGATATTCCAAGTGTCGTCTAACCAGGGTTTTATAGCGCTGCAGCATAACCTCACAGTTCTTAAACTCAATTCCCCTGCCAATGAAAGCCAACATACCATACACCTTCTTAACAACCCTATCAACTTGGGTGACAACTTTGAGGGATTTATGGACGTGGACCGCATGATCCCTCTATTCCTCCACACTGCCAAGGATCCTGCCATTAACCCTGTATTCTGCATTCAAATTCGACCTTCCAAAATGAATCACTTCACCCTTTTCCAGGTTGAATTCCATCTGCCACTTCTTTGCTCAGCTCTGCTTCCTGTCAATGTCCCATTGCAACCTACAACAACCCTCTACACTATCCACAACTCCACCAGAGGGATCTTGGGATGTTTGACCACAAAACCCTGATGGTGGCAGGATAGGTTAATAAGGTAGTTAAGAAGGCATGTGAAACTCCTGTGTAGTCATGGCATTGATTATAACAGTAGGTAGGTTATGTTAGATCTGTACAGCACTTCAGTTAGGTCACAACCGGAATAATGTATGCAGTTCTAGTCACTGCACGATAAAAGAAGGAAGTGATTGCACTGGAAATGGTGCAGAGTTGATTCACCGGGATGCTGCCTGGGATGGAGCATTTTAGCTATGAAGTGAGCTGGATAAGCTCAAATTATTTTCTATGGAGCAGAGAAGGTTGAGGAGGGACCTGATAGAAGTGTATAATATTATGAGGGGACATGGGCAGGGAGGATAAAACGCAGCTGTTCCTCCTTAGTTGAAGGGTCAATAACAAGAGGGCACACTTTTAAGGGGAAAGTCAAAAGATTTAGAGGGGAGTTGAGGATAAATCATTTCATCCAGAGGGTGTTGGGGGACTGGAATGCGCTGTGTAGGAGGGTTGTAGAGGTGGATAAGCTCCACAATCTTTAAAAAGTACTTGGATAAGCACTTGAAGTGTCATAACATTCAAGACTGTGGGCCTAGTGCTGGAAAGTGGGATTAGCATAAGTTTAGAGTAGTTTGGCAATACAGACTCAATGGGCCAAAAGGTCTCTTCTGTGCTGTATGATTCTATCATTTTGAGGAATCAACTGTGCTTCGTGTTATGATCATAGCTGATTGCAATACTGGATAAGCCAGATCCCAGAGTGAAACCAGTTTGATGGACTATAAATTTTATTTTTGCAACTTGCTTACTGTGGTGATCAGTCACTGAATATATTCTCGAGAAACCGTCAATGTACTTTTAATAAAACAATGTAGAGACTATCACTATTTCTGTTTTACTTTTCTCATTTTTTGGTTTGGAGCTGTGATTTGAAAATAAGAATTGAATTTTTAATTTGAACAACAGCTTTTTTTAAAAAATAAGAGAATGAAGACAAATGTTTTTTTTTGTTAAAAACTGGCCTGGAAAGATAATGCAATTTAATTACTGATCTAAGGGCACTAGAGTTGAATCAGCAATGAGCTATTGCTCTGCTCAAGGCTGGCACCTTGTTGAATTGGTCAATCAAGGAAGAACCAGTTTGGTGGCAAGGTGATATTTTTGGAGAATTCTAGAGACGGTACTGCTTGATTTTTCTCACTCCTAGTCTCTTTCCAGTTAGTGAATTGTCGAATGTTCTGAGAGAAGAATCCCAGCCTGTAAGAAATATAAGTCCATAAGACCATAAGATACAGGAACAGAATTAGACCATTCAGCCACTCAATCTTATCCACCATTCAATCATGGCTGATATATTTCCCAACCCCATTCTTCTGCTTTCTCCTGTACCCCTTGATCCCTTTACTAACCAAGAAGCTATCTATCTCTGTCTTAAATACACTCAATGACTTGGCCTCTACAGCCCTCTGCAGCAATGAGTTCCACGGATTCACCATCCTCTGGCTGAAGAAATTCCTCCTTATCTCAGTTCTAAATGTTCATCTCTTCACTCTGTGCCCTTGGTTCTAAGAGTCATAGGGTCATAGAGTCATACAGCACTGAAACAGACCGTTTGGTCTAACCAGTCCATGCCAAAATGTTCCCAAACTAAACTAGTCCCACCTGCCTGCACTTGGCCCTGCTGATACATCTATAATGCCCTTAGGCCAGTAATTAAATTGCATTATCTTTTCAGGCCAGTTTTTAACAGAAAACATCTGTCTTCATTCTTTTGTTTTCTTAGTTCTTATTCATATACTTATCCAATTGTATTTTAAATGTTGTAACTGTACTCATATCCATCATTTCCTCTGGAAGTTCATTCCACACAACAACCACTCTCTGTGTAAAAAAGTTGCTCCTCATGTCTTTTTAATATCTTTCCCCTCTCACCTTAAAAATATGCCCCCTGTCATGAAATCCCCTACCCGAGGAGAAAGGCACTTTCCATTCACCTTATTTATAACCCTCATGACTTTATAAACCTCTATAATGTCACCCCTTAATCTCCTACACTTCAGTGAAAAATGTCCCAGCCTCTCCTTATAACTCAAACCCTCCTTTCCCAGCAACATCCTGGTAAATTTCTTCTGAACCTTCTCCAGCTTAATAATATCCTTCCAAAACAAGGCAACCAAAACTGGACACAGTACTCCAGAAGAGGCCTCACCAACATCCTCTACAACTTCAATGTAACCTCCCAACTCCTATATGCAAATTTCTGAGCAATGAAGGCAAATGTGCTAAATGCCTTCTTAACCAACCTATCTATATGTGATGCAAATTTCCATGAATTATGTACTGTCCTACGAGTGGAAACCTCTTCTCCACATCTACTCTATCCAGTACTCTATCCACTATCTACTCTCAGTATTCTGTATGTTTCAATCAGATCTGCCCTCATCCTTCTAAACAGTACAGACTCAGATTCCTTAACTGCTGCTCATATGATAAGCCCATTATCCCAGAATCCTTTTAGTAAAACTCCATTGGGCCCCCTCCAATGCCAGCATATTCTTACTTAGATATGGGGCCCAAAACTGCGCACAATATTTCAAATGTGGTCTGACTGGGGCTTTTATACAGCCTCAACACTACAACTCTGTTCTTGCATTCCAACTGTCTTGAAATAAATGTAAACATTGCATTTGCCTTCCTAACTGGTAGCTCAACCTGCATGCTAACCTTAAGAGAATCCTAAACTAGGACCCCCAAGTCCCTTTGTGCTTCAGATTTCCAAAGCCTTTCCCCATGTGGAAAATAGTCTGAGCCTCTATTCTCCCTCCCAAAATATACACCTCATACTTTACCACATTATATTTGATCTGTTACTTCTTTGTTCACTCACCCAGCCTGTCCAAGTGCTTCTGGATCCTTCCCATTTCCTCAACACCAACTAACCCTCCACCTATCTCTGTGTCATCTGCAAAATTAGCAACAACACCCTCAGTTCCTTTGTCCAGATCGTTAATGTATAATATGAACAGTTGTGGTCCCAACATTGACCCCTGCAGAGCTCCACTAGTTACCGGATGCCATCCTGAAAAAGACCCTTTTATTTCCACTCTCTGCCTTCTGCTAGTCAGCCAATCTTCTATCCAGGCCAGTAACTTGTTCCTAACACCATGGGCTATTATCTTATTTAGTAGCTTCCTGTGCGGCACCTTGTCAAGGCCTTTTGGAAATCCAAATAGATCATGTCCACTGGTTCTCCTTTGTCTAACTTGCTTGTTACCTCCTCAAAGAATTCTAACAGTTTTGTCAGGTATGACTTAGCCCTATTTTACCATGCACTTCCAAATACTCTGCAATCTCATCCTTAATAATGGACTGTTAAATTGTACCAATGTCTGAGGGTGGGCTAAGCGGCTTATAGTTTCCTGTTTTCAGCTTCCCTCCCTTCTCAAACAGGGGTCTACATTCATCATTTTCCATTCCTCTAGCACCCTCCCTGACTTCAATGATTTCTGAAAGATCACCACCAATGCCTCTACAATCTCCTTAGATATCTTCTTCATAACCCTGAGGTGTAGCCCATCTGGTCCGAGTGATTTATCTCCCTTTGGAACTTTCTGCTTCCCCAGCACCTTCTTCTTAGTGATGGCCACTACACTTACCTCTGCCCTGACTCTTGAAGTTCTGATAGGTTTCTGGTGCCTTCTGCTATGAAAACTGATTCAAAGTACCTATTCAGTTCATCCATCATTTCCTTGTTCCCATTACTACTTCTCCAGCCTCACATTTCAATGGTCCAATATCCAGTTTTGCCTCCTCTAACCTCTTGTGTGTCTAAAAGACTCTTAAAATCTTCTTTTTATTAATAGCTAACTTACTGTCAAATTTCAGCACCCAATTGCTTGTTTAGCTATCGTCTGTTGGTTTTTAAAGGCTTCCCAATCCCTGGCTTCCTACGAATCTTCACAAAATTGTTTATTTTGTCTTTTGCATTTGTGCTATTCCTGATTTTCCTTGTAAGCCATGATTGCCTCATTCTGCCCTTACATATTATATCTTCCTTGGGATGAATTTCTGCTGTGCCTCACTGATCAAGAATTGCTTGTTTCCTAGTGGGCTCTACCACAAGCTGCTCCAAAAAAAAACATCTCGTAGACATTCCATGAATCCCTTTTCTTGAGATCCACTACCACCCTGATTTTCCCAGTCCACCTACATATTTAAGTCCTCCATGATTATTATGATAGTACCTTTCTTACGTGCCTTTTCTATCTCCTGATTTATTTTCTTCCCCATATCCTAACTACTGCTAGGAGGTCTGACCAGAACTCCCATGAGGGCCCTTTTCTCCCTTGCAATTCCTCAACTCTACCCACATAGATTTGACTCTTACTAACTCTATATAATTTCTTGCTGTCGGTTTAATTTCATTTCTTACTAACAAGACAACCCCGCCATTCTGCCCATCGGCCTGTCCTCTCAATAGGATGTATATCCTTGGATATTTGTTTCCAGCCCTGATTCCCATGCAGCCACATCTCTGTGATACCCACAACATCGCACCCACCAATTCCAATCTGTGCTACAAGCTCATATACTTTGCTTTGTATGTTGTGCACATTTAAGTATAACTACCTCAGTCCTGTGTTGACTGCTTCCCCTTCTCATAGTTGTCACTTACCTGCTATGCCTGATGTTAGATTCCTGAACCTTTCCATACTCTCTGTCCTATTCCTTGTTCTGGAAATTTTAATCCTTGTTGAACCGTCCCGCCCCTTTATTGTTTTCCATAATTTTTTATATAACTGAACCCATCCCCCCCAATATTTAGTTCAAACTCCTACCCACAGCCCTTGTTATGCAATTTGCAAGGAATCTGATCCTAACATGATTCAAGCGGAGCCCGTCCCATAAGAACAGCTCCCTTCTTTCCCAGTACTAATGCCACTGTTCCAAGAACTCAAAACCACTTCTCCCATGCCAACCTTTGAGCTATGTGTTTACCTCTTAAATCTTGTTGACCTGTGTAAATTTTCTCACGGCTCAGGTAGTAATCTAGGGATTATGTATGTACATACTTCTAGAACTCGCTGAAGCTGTTTAATTAACTGGTGACTTTGGAAATTAAGCGTGATATACAGTTCCATTTGCCAGTGAACTACCCATTATCTAAGGACTTCATGAAGACCTGGTATCAATTGTTTGAAACAGTTTAATAAAGTGGTAAATTACATGCTTTTATTTTCATTTCTAATTTATCTTTTAACTGTGTCCGTTTTTTCAGTTTCTCTGTGTGTCAATGGGAGTTATGATAAAGAAAATTGGGCTTTTGCTCATAATTATTAATCAGATTACCTCATTGATTATCTGGTCTGCTAATGTTACATTATTAAGAATGAATTGTAAATTTTTGTTTAAGTTATAAATTTAGTGTCTAAGATTTATTACTCAAAAATTTAGTTAGGAATAATTGGGTGGTTTGGAGGGTTATTAAATGTTTTAATTTCACTATGTTGTGAATCCAGTGATAGTGAGGCTGATTTGGTTTGGCTTGCTGTTTCTGTGTCATAAGAAGAACATCAAAGTTTATTATACACAAAAGGAAAAAAAAAAGTAAATACACAATACAAGAGCTAGCTGAAGTGTTTTCAAGTATTATTATTAAATATTCAACCCTTTTACTATCAACAGTACCCTTTCAGATAGTCAGACATTAATGGATGGTCACCTGGTCCACTTAAAAATTCCTTGATCATAGACGTGGCTGCATTTAAGGTTCTCCTTGGTGAATTTCTGAATTCATTTGATGTTATCTTCTTTAAAATGCATGCAAGTACATTTTTAAACACTGCTTCCCCATTTACAGAACTCAAAGTGGTACTGAGACCTTCCCTTCTTAATCCATACAAAAGGAGTTACACGTCAAGCTTAAGTTTCCAAACAATAATGTTACTAATATCATAAACCTTCATAACATTTGTACAATTTACTATTCAAATATTATTGTTTTCAAAATTAGATACCTTTTTCTGTGTTGTTCATACTGTTGTTTTCTCCTCTTTTTGATTGCTAACAGGTCTTTCGGATCATAAGACTTTGTTAAAGGCAATAGTGCCCCAATGTTACAGCTGCAATTATTGCTGCCATTTAACCTGTAGAGGATTTGAAGTTGATGTTAGCCAGAGTGACAAGTAAAAGGTATTTATTCTATAATCTGTGTTAATACTATAATGCTATTCAATGCACATTCCATTACTTTGATTCACAAGATAAATCCACTCATTCATCGCTATGATCTTTGTCAAACTAACTTAGAAATGTATTAGTTTCAATCAAAATAATTAAAAACTTCATATATTGGCAAGTGTTTTGAGTTCCTTTCTTCCATTTTGTCCCTTAACTCTTGAATAGACAAGAATGTAAGGTTGAGTCACAAAAGCACTGATTAAGTACATACAATACAGGGCTTTAATTTTTTCCATTTGTTATTAAACTATTTATTGTAAACTCAAAGAGTAGGAATAACAACTTTTCAATAAACCGATTAGCAAAAAATTTCAGGAGCCCGTCGACGACAGGCAAACAGCCTGCATTAAATGGGGGCATGAAGCACTGCTGGCTGGCATGGACCATGTGGTTTTGCCGGAGGATATGGATGCATGCAGCTGCATTCCCTTTGTGGTGGTGGAAGACGTTGATTTGTTCCTAATCTGATTTTGATTTGTTGCTTCTCTAATGTGATGTATTTCACACAACCAGCTAGTTGTTGTGATACCAAGATTTACTTCTGACTTCTTGTGGCTCAGAGGTAGTGTCCCTACCTCTGACGGTGTAGTTCATTTCCCACCTGCTCTTGAGCTGTGCCACAACATGTCTGAACAGAATAGTTAATAGTATGTACAAATTTGGGCTATGAATGTACGGGCACAATCAGTTTTGTTCAGTCATGGCATGAAAGGGAAAAGACAGGCCTTGCAATGGCATTATTTAAAATGCCAAGCATCCTGATCCAAGTAAGCTAATTTTTATATTTTTCTAAAGATTTTTATAGTAAAATGTCTGGCAGTAATCTGGAGTGTAGTTGGAGATGTTAAGGTGAGCTCCTGCCTTTGCAGAAATTATCACCTGATCCTCACAAGAAGACACAGGAGTAGGTGATTTGTTCAGCATTATGATAGGAGCTTGGCGCAAAGGCTGTGGCGAGGGTGCTCCCTGTGTTACACCTTTGTTAAGTTGAAGCCTGGTGTCTCCAAACCTCAATGATGGAGGCGAACTGGCAAGCCAGGTATGATCCATTATCTTGGTTTGCATAATTATTCGGTGTTTGGCTGTGTGTCCAACTATTGAATTCATCTTGTGGTATTTTGCCTGATGATCACTGCTGGCCTGTTGTGATACTCACTACCTCTAGCAATATGTGGCACTGGTTAAGGACTGTTTGAGGTGATTGACTGCCACCAAACCTCTAATATCTTTGCTTTGTCTTGGACCTATCTCATGAATTGTGAAAGAGAATGCACCACTGTAGAGTGTCTACAGAAAAGGCGCTGTTCGTGCTCACAAGATGCATTGTATGACAGCAATCAGTCCACTACATTTTGTAAGGCATAATTACCAGGACATTAGGCCATTGGTGACAAAGAACTACTCCCTCCAAAAGCTAGAATAGAGCTTCTTGTCTCAATCCCCAGACTATGTGTGACATCAGTAGAATGGGTGGAGCAATTGTAACATGAACATTAACTCTTTCATAAAATCCTACAATGTGGAAGCAGGCCATTTGGCCCATTGAGTCCACATTGACCCTCTGGAGAACATCCCACCCAGACCCACCCCATCCCTGTAATCCTGCATTTCCCATGGTTGATCGACCTAGCTTGCACATCCCAGGATGCTATGGGCAATCCACCTAACCTGCACATCTTAGGACTGTGGGAGGAAACTGGAGCACCTGGAGGAAACCCACGCAGACATGGGGAGAACAAGCAACCTCCACACAGGCCATTGCCTGAGGCTGGAATCAAGACTGCGTCCCTGGCACTGTGAGGCAGCAGTGCGAGCCATTGAGCCACCATGCCAGCCTCAGAGCAATTACTTATTACAACATCTTCCCCCAAGCTGTTTGTCCCTACAGTCAACCCATTATACTAAATTACATTTATGAATATCCTATCTTTCCCCAAGTCTCTGACTTTACAAATGCAATTGGTTTAGATAGAATTCTCTCTGTTCAGGTTTGGCACAATGGTAAACTTTTGCTTGCAGACTTTTGACCCTGGTACTGAACTGTGGATAATCTCTCCACTGGATGATCTTATATCTCTTGGATATTTCTTCCTCAAGGACACAGTTGATTTTAGATGTTGTTGTTGGTTCATGACCCCCTAATCTCCTTACTGTCATTTATGGAAGACGACTACACTGTTGAATTTGGAGTTGGGGACCACATGTAGGGTGTCAAAGTTTGCAGATGACACTAAGATGAGTGGCAGAGCAAAGTGTGCAGAGGACTGTGAAACTTTGCAGAGGAACATAGATACATTGAGTGAGTGGGCAAAGGTCTGGCAGATGGAATACAATGTAAATAAATGTGAAGTCATACATTTTGGTAGGAGTAATAGTAAAAAGGATTATTATTTAAATGGTAAAAGTTGTAGCATGCTGCTATGCAGAGGGACCTGGGTGTCCTTGTGCATGAACCACAGAAGGTAGGTCTGCAGGTACAACAAGTAATTAGGAAGGCAAATGGAATTTTGTCCTTCATTGCTAAAGGGATTGAAATTAAAAGCAGAGAGGTTATGTTGCAGCTGTACAAGGTGCTGGTGAGGCCACACCTGGAGTACAGTGTGCAGTTTTGGTCTCCTTACTTGAGAAAGGATGTATTGGCACTGGAGGGGGTGCAAAGGAGGTTCACTAGGTTGATTCCGGATGTGAGGGGGTTGGCTTATGAGGAGAGACTGAGTAGATTGGGATTATATTCATTGGAATTCAGAAGATTGAGGGGGGATCTTATAGAAACATATAAAATTATGAAGGGAATAGATAAGATAGAAGTAGAGAGGATGTTTCCACTGGCAGGTGAAGCTAGGACAAGAGGGCATAGCCTCATGATTAGAGGGAGCAGATTTAGGACTGAATTGAGAAGGAATTTCTTTACCCAGAGGGTTGTTAATCTATGGAATTCCTTGCCCAGAGAAGTAGTTGACGCTACTTCAGGAAGGCTAACGTTTCGGGCCTAGACCCTTCGCTGACTTAATTATGGTGCTGATAATTCTACCATCTTATTGTCCCTTTCTACCGTAGGTTTACAATGCTTGTACCAGTCATATTTGCCTTCATTCAATGAATATAATTTCCCAGAAACAAGTCTTGAATGTGAATGGTGTTCAACAAAAAAAAAGTTGTGAAGAAGGGTCTAGGCCCGAAACGTCAGCCTTCCTGCTCCTATGATGCTGCTTGGCCTGCTGTGTTCATCCAGCTCTACACCTTGTTATCTCAGATTCTCCAGCATCTGCAGTTCCTACTATCTCTGAAACAATAATGTCATGAGCTGGTTCGGGACCAATAACCTTTCTTTTAAAAACAGACTGTTTGAAATGCCAGGTACTTGCAAAGATAGTAAAAACTCAAAATCCCATGGTTGGAACAAACAAAATAAAGTTTACTATCAAATGGCACAACTAATTACCAAACTGTAGTCAGAAGCCCCACAGTCTGCATCAAATAGAAGATATGGTCAAGACAGCTCTAATACATTTCTCAGCAATTGACCCAGATGTTAACAACACCAGAAGTCACAAAATCTGATCTAATTCTTTTCACTTTCTCAATGGATTTCAATTCTTCACTTTCAAAGATCTAGCCCAGAATCCCCTGAAATCTATTTCACCATTAACTTGCCTGAATACCTGCTCACATTCTAGTGGTTCAATCTCTTCTCTTGAGATTGCATTCCTAAGACTTCCTGAAACTTGTTGCAAGAGTCTCATTGCTGTCACAATTTCAGGTAAGCCACTGACCCAAATCTCTTTGAATTCCAACATTTTTAAACTGCACTAAACGAATACTGTTTTGAATTTTCCTTCCTCCACCCACAGGTATCAATGGCAATCACAACTTTTTATCAGGCCAAACCTTTCCCACAGCATGGATTGCAGAGTTGATCAATCCTACAACTGCTAGCAGCCATCTGCTCCGCTTTTGTCTGACTACAAATTGACTCTTGAGCTGCAAGCCAGTGACATTTGAATTGTTGTTAAGTGACCTATTAAAATATAGATCCAGCCCATGTATCATGAAGCAGAATCAAAGCCAACTACGATGTGCATTATGTACTTTACTATTTACTTACTGCCTTACACAACACAAATGGATACAAGTGTTAACTGTTTACAGTAATTACTGTAGATGTTTATCACCATCAATATGGCCATTTCAACTCCTTCAGTTAATACACCAGGAGTTGAAAAATCACTTAATTACACAGTGAAAGGGTGCGGAGATGCCAGGAGTACTTCGTAGTATTGATACATATGATTTGTTTTTATTGGATGTAGCACATTTACATTTGCTATCCCAAAATAATAATGAACCACTTTATGACTAGCATTTATATTTTTTTCATTATTTCTTCTCATTTTTTCTTAGGCTATGCTATGTTACCAGTACCACTATATTTTTATGTGTTGCCAATTTTTTTAAAAATTATTTCAACTTGTTCCAAGTTTAGTAACATCTTGTGTATTTCTCCCTTATAGCAAGAACACACACATTTAAGAAATGGCCCATGATTAAACAAAAATATGTTTCCAAAGGCATTTCTCAAAATTAAGACAGATATAGTACATTTTTATGTCCTTTATGGTTATCAGCTGGATGTTCTAGGCAGTTATTGGTTACTCTTTTAAACATGAAACCTGAATTGTTGACTCTGGATCAAGAAGGGTTATCTTGTGAGTCATATCCCTTTGGAGTCAATTGCATCAAATAAATAAACTTTAGAGTTCCTATGTGACCTATGGCTCCTGTGGTCAATGCGTTATCTTGTTCTTTTTTATAAAGTATTGATATTTAACTTTATACTTTTAGGCCTTTAATACTGTTCTAAAACAGCTACTTATCAATACTTTGTTTACTATTGAGTGGTACATACCTCCTGATCCTTTCTATTCAGTACCACACATCAGTTTGACAACCACAATGTTTTTGCTTTGTCTAACCACCTTTCCTTACTAACCTTTGCCCTGTCTCAACGTTGTTTTGTTAATTGCATTGCACAGACTGCTTCCCAAAGACAAGCTTAGACTTGACATTGTGAGTCAGTTGTCCATTTGGGTTAGATAAGCGACAGCAGGCAAAGGAAAGGCCTATCCTAAGAAAGGCATTGATCTGCAGTTGAATTGGGTCGACAGATTGCTTTTGAGCAGGTGTGCACTGTTATTGGCAGTGGCAGCCTTGAAGACTCTTCGCTCATTCACATAATATCCAGGGAGAATTCTCAGGATCGCCAACCTGCCACACAAACTAGATAAGTCTGAAGTTTGGAACAGAGGTGGGAATCACCAACAATTTTAAGTCCTTATGTGGTCTTCATAGATATTATGCTGTCAATTTTCTGTTTTAAATAAAGGTAACGTGAAACATCTGGATGTAAAACAATGGTTTTTAGTTATTTCAAAGACATAATTAAGAACACATTTCAACATTTCTGGAACAGAATTAAATTTTAAATTTTTTTTTTAACAACTCGGCTTACCAGCTTCCTCTGTATGGTGACAGAAAGGTTAGGTTTTCTGGTGACTTGACGTTCATGTGCCAATTATCAATTGGCTTCTCAATTTTCATGAATAGAAGTACATTCTTTAAAGGATTACTTTTCATATAAAAATGTATCACAGCCAATAGCATCACCACTAAAATCACTATGATTTTGTAAGAAGTTCTGAAGTACATGCTGAAAGAAAATAGATAAAGTTAGGAACAAAATATTTGAACAAAGTAATTTCAAATCCTTCGGAATTAATTGAATTTTATTGTATGGACATTGGTTAGTTGGAATTTCATATTATTATCCTTTCGTTTATTAGAATTAAGAGAGATTTTAGCTTAATGGCAAAGGATAGGTTTCAGGGAAATGTATAATTCATGTTCCACAGTTAGCTTTATTAACTGCCTAAACAGTTTCAAAATAGTCTAAAACAGGGATTTTGGAATCTGAACAGTTGTGCCATATATGTGTTTGTCAACCCAACATGAATACCACCGAATGTGTGAACTATGCACAGCCCTCTTTTTTACTACATGCACATTTTAAGATTATCTTTTGCATTGCCAAATTAGAAAACTCAGGATATTATTTGCCTGCATGAATACCTGTTTGGGGTGTTGTTGGTCTGGACTAATTAGGTAATGAAACAGATATTCTCGTTGGAAACATTGCTATGAGTTCTCCAATAGGAATGACAGTGATGCTATCATCATCCAGTATTAATAAGGAGCAATTACAATCTTGAGTTTGCTTCTGCAAACAATAACTCAAATAAAGCTGTTTGGTGTTTATGCTTGTAGAGGAAACAGTCAAACTCAGTTCAAAACTCCATGGTCTCTACCGGGGGCAGTATATGCAACTTCCGGCATCTGCACATGAATAATTAAATGTGGAAACCAACAAGATGCTGCTTTCAATGCCCTCGACCGCCACAAGCTTCCCTACATGGACATGCAGCCCTGAGATTTGACATTAAAACACATGAAAGGCATGACATTGCAATACTTATATATAAGACACTGGTTAAATAGCAGATAAAGTTATGGCCTATGCATTCAAGCATAGCTGCAGTCAGTTTAACTCCTGGCAAACAATGAATGCGAGAGCAAAAATGTACTTTTACAAGTGTGAAGTGTCATTCCAACCAATTTAAATTATTGTTGATGGATTAAAAACTTATTTTTAAAAAATAATTTGTCTATTTAGCTTTCTTTTAAAATTTCATTCTTCTTATTTTAGTCTATGTGCTGAATTAAATATTCCAACTTAATCTTTCTGGTTTTGACTCAATGGGTTTGAATTTTCGGCCCCACTGGACAGAGATTACAGCTGGAATAGGCACTACAAATAGGACAGACAGTCTCTGTGCTGGATCCCTGGTTCCATCTTATCCTTACGCCATTTTCACAGAGATGGGATTGAGGATGGTCGTGGTATCTGCCATATGCATTGTATAGCCGATCCCATGTAGGGCAAATTAAATGACACTGACTGTATTCTATACTCACAAACAATGGGTACCAGGTTAGCTGCCAGGAAGTAGCCTTTCAGAGACAGACTGAGGAAGGGGCACTTAAACTAACATCACAGGCAGGTTTAAAAGTCCTCCTCACCACACTCCCACTACACAGCAATAGTGCAGAAATCATTGTTATTCAAACCTTAAATAAGTTGGAAATGGGGCACCCCCATTTGAAAAGCTTCTCTCTTTCTTACCTTCTGCTGCAATCAAGTTTAGAGACTTATGATTGCACTGCCATCCCCAGCTTCAGGAACCAGTCTGCTACAATGAGTTTGATGGGGACCTCTTGCTCTAGCCATTAACTGTTCATAAAGAAAAGTCACGACGTGTGACTGCTCCTCACATTAGATCAGTTTCTTGTGCACCATTGATTCTGAAAGTTGGGTTGAAAAACCCACAGTGAAAATCTAGCCCAGTGCCAGATTGAATGTTCTTCAATTAGATGGATTGAGGAAACAGTTGCTTGCTCTGTTCATATAGGTTCCAGAACTCCTGTAGGAGGCACGCTTAAACTGGATCAGTGATTCTAGGTCTGCCAAGGCAATCTTCCATCTTTGCCTAGTCTGGCTTACATTTGAGTCTGGGCCCCACAGCAATGTGATTGACATTTAACTGTCCTCCAGACAATTACTGATGGACAATAGATGCTGGCCCAGCCACTGACACTCAGATCTCATGAACAAGTAAAATAACTCAAATCTTAGACACTATTGAGGCCAATGCAAGGAGACTAACAGAAAAAGGAGTGGGAGTGTTTTCATACCAAGCTTCCTAACTCACATCTCAGGGAAGGAGCTAACTGGCCTCAACTAACTCTGACTGCTTGCTTCCTGTCTTCAGACATTTGCACGACAGAAAAGTGTTAAATCCACCCATGTTCCAATGAGTAGTGGGAATTCTTTGCCACAGATATTGGAGGCATCCTTCCTTCTTTGCATTTTCACCAAGCCAAAAAGTTCCCAATTCTCTCCGTGTTCACAACCAACCTTTATGCATCATTTCTTCTGGCTGAGTTTCAGATGGGCTTATCATTTGTGGCAAGCAAATTGCCTTTGCATGGAACTTATTTTTTCTGTGGCATGGCCTACAAATATCCAATTCCCTTTTGAAAAATACTGTTGAATCTACATGTTTTCAAGCAGTCCATTGTAGGCTGAACAACAGCCTGCTAAAAACTAAGTTTCCTAATCTCTCCGCTGTTTCTTTGTCAATTAGTATGTGTGTGTCAGTGAAAACAATTTCTCCATTTTTACTCTACCAAAGCCCTCAGAATTTTGAACATGCCATTTAAGATCGCACCTTAAACTTTACCACTTTTAGAGCATGTTGGGTTATAATTGCTCCTACCAGTATTGTCCAACTCAGAACACAAGAACTAGAAACAGGTGTAAACAATTCAGCTCTGCCACTTAATGTGATCATGGCTACTCTCATCTCACTTTGGACTTCACTTTCCAACCCTGCTCCCCATAATCCATAACTCCTTACAGTAGAGCTGACTCAGTACTATTCCTGAGATAACAAGGTGTAGAGGTGGATGAACACAGCAGCCAAACAGCATCATAGGAGCAGGAAGGCTGTCTAGGCCCGAAACGTCAGCCTTCCTGCTCCTATGATGCTGCTTGGCCTGCTGTGTTCATCCAGCTCTACACCTTGTTATCTCAGATTCTCCAGCATCTGCAGTTCTTACTATCTCAGTACTATTCCTAATTGTTCAGTTTTTTTCGATTTATAACTAAAAACTTTGTCTCTGACGTCCCAGCACAGACCACATTATGGGGGAATGAATTCCACAGATTGATGACTCCTTGAGAGAAGTAATTCCTTCTCATCTCTTTTTAAAATTTGCCACCCATTATCTGAAACTATGACGTCTTGTTTCAGATTGTCTCACAAGGGGAATTATCTGCTCTACATCTACTATGTCAATCCCCTTCAGCATCTTATATACTTTATTTAGATTGCCTCCCATCCTTCTAAACCCTAGCGTGTAGAGGTCTAAACTGCTCAATTTCTTCACATAAGACAAGCCTTTCATCTCTGGAGTTAATCAAGTGAACTTTCTCTGAACTTCTTCCAATGCAATTACATTCTTCTTCAAGCACGGGAGCAAAACTGTATGCAGTACTCCAGTGATAGTAGGAACTGCCGATGCTGGAGAATCTGAGATAACAAGGTGTAGAGCTGGATGAACACAGCAGGCCAAGCAGCATCAGAGGAGAAGGAAAGCTGACGTTTCGGGTCTGGACCCGAAATTTCTGAAGAAGAGTCCAGACCCAAAATGTTAGCTTTCCAGCTCTACACATTGTTATCGGCAGTAATCCAGTGCTGTCTAACCAATACTTGAAAGCTTAATGCAAGGAAGATGGGATCTAAACTTAGCTTGTACCTTTAATATACTTTTCCTAGCCCCTCCATACAGAGCCAATAGAAAAAAAAATCAAAACCAATAGTAGAAACAGCACCATTAATAGCATCAAAAAGTGATATAATTCAAAAGGAGGATGATTACTTCATATACTTATTATTTGAAAGAGCTTTCCAAATAAGCCCTAAACCCTGTTATACCCATTATTCTGGACCTTTTACTTTTCAGGTATTTACCCAATGTGTTTTTGAAAGTTATTGCATCTGCTACTAGCACTTGTTCAGGAAAATATGCTCCAAACCATAATAACACACCATTTCAATATTTTCATCATGGCATCACTGGTCATTTTTCTTTTACATTTTCTATCCTCAGATTAACGACTTTTCCTGTGTGAAAGACACTTCTCCTTAGTTACTTAAAACCAAATTTATTAAGGATTTTGAATACCTCTGTCAAATCTCTCTTCCATTTTCTTGTCTGTAAGGAAAGTAAGTTTTTTACAGATTTTTTACATCACACTAAACCCTTAGTCAAATTAGGAAAGCAGACAAACTAGACTTATAGCTTAACATGAATTAATTTTATAGGTAACCTTAATGACATACATTAGCTGTATTTTTCTCATCAACACACTTCTTATAAACACATCATTTTCACTGAATAAGAAACAAGGCCGCCAAGTAACTGCAGGATCACTGATGTTGACAAAGACAGATTCCACTAGGATAAGCTATTTTTGGAATTGCTAACAGGAACTTCGCTCAAAACATTATCAGTATGTGGAACAGCCATCCAAAGAAAGCAACAGATATAAAATCACTGGAAATATTTTAGAAAAATGTGCAAATAACAGGGGGAGGGTCTCTTTAAAGATTTCCTTAATTATAATAATCTTCTGGAACTAACTGCTTTAAGGGAAACCTATTTTTTATAGAGGAGTTGAAGCAGATATTGTGCCCCTTTCTGCAAATACAGTGTTGAGTGGCTGCTAATGTTGGTGCCTGGTTTTGAAATGCTTGTCAGGATGGTTCCATCTCCTAAATTAGCTGAAGGAGGCCATTCGGTCCATTGACTTTGTACCAGTTCTCCAAATGAGCATTATGACTTAGTGTCATTCTTCCGCCACTTCCCATAATTCTGCAGTTTGTATCTAGTCAATCTTCATCTGTTGCTCTTTTGAATACCTTGACTGAAGCTGCCTTCATTACACCTCTAGGCAGTGAATTCCAGAATTCAACTATTTGCAGGGTGATAACATATATATGCTCACTTTGCATTAGTTTCTTTAGAAAATTTCTTTAAAGCTATGCCCTCATGTCCTCGATCCTTTTATAAGTGAGTACCATTGTCCTTGTGAATATTAATTCTATGCTGAATTATTGTTTCTGGAGGTTTCCCCACTCCTGACAGTAAATTAAACAGGTTGTATTTGCTGGGCTTATCCTCACATTCTTTTTTTTAACACGTTTATTTCCTATTCTCCAGTCCTCTGGCACCGCCCTGAATCTAGGGAAAACCGAAAAATTATGCCCAGTACTTCTAGTATTTCAACTCTGACTTCTTTCAGTATCCTTGGATGTGTCATATCCATTCCTGTTGCCTTGTCAGATTTAAGTACAAGCAGTTTATCCAATATCTTCTCCTTAGCAGTTTTGAACCCTTTTAATTTCCTCCTCAAACATTGGTCTGGGTAGCACCTGCTTCCTTTGTAAACACAGATGCAAAGTATTTCATTAAAACCTTAGTCTTGCCCACTGCTTCCATGTATGATCAGCCCAACTTCTCCTTTTATGATTTATTGATTTTTGATTTTACGTTAGTTGCTAGTCACAGCTGGTTTGCAATGCAGAGTGATGCCAGCAACCTGGGTTCAATTCCTGCATCAGCTGAGATTATTACTGAGGTCCCTCCTTCTCAACCTTGCCTTTTGCCTGAGGTGTGGTGACCCTCAGATTTAACCACTACCAGTTGTCTCTCTCTAATGAGAGAACAGCCTTAATAGTTCACTGGGACATTGGCAACTTTACCTTTTTCTTATTCCTGTCTGATAGTACGTCCTTGATTTCCACACCCCTGCTGATTTAGCTTAGGTCATCCTTAGCAGCCCAAATGAAATGCCCGGTAAAGAACTCAGTCCTATCATTGTTCAGATGCAACCTGTCTGGCTTGTACGGCTTTTGACTCTCTCCAGTGTCACAGGAAACTAGAGCCTTGCCTCCTGTATCATCTTTCCATCTTCGCATTCATCTGTCTTATCCTCCTATTTCTATATTCCTTTGCAAATAGCATTGGGAATAATCCTGAGATTAATATTTTGAGGTCCTGTATGCTTATTTTCTACCTAGTTCCCTATGTTCTGACTGCTGACCATATCTTCCTTCCTATTTGTGTCACTGGTATCAATATGGACCATGTCCTCTAGCTGATCACCCTCCCTGAGGAGATGGACACTATGCAATGGAACCATTGCAAACACGAAAGGCCAAATAGCCTGCTTCTGTGCCATAAT